AGGCTTAATGCACCATGAGATTTCTTAACCAAAATGAATAATGGAAAACAACAACAAATCTTTTAATGATTTAAAATTGAGTATTACTCCTATTTGTCTCCTTTAAATGGAAAATGAACACTTAAAGCAATATGAGTCGCTGCTATTAATTTACTGTAGGACTGATCACACACTGTAATTCTCTGTTAAACACATCTCAACCTAGATGGGGACATTAGGCATCTGATAAACTGGTCTACATAATGAAATGAGTTAATGGCTGTATTTGGTTTTGTCCCTGTCCTATCACTTCATGCTTATCACTTCCCCATGTAAGTGAAGCCTTTGAATGGCTACAATTTATGCTTTAGCATTTGAATGAAATTAAAATTAAAATGAAAAGATCTGTAAGTCTGTGTAATGGAAATGGACACCAACAAAGCTTCACTAGAATCATAGAATGATTTGGGTTGGAAGGGACTGTAAATATCATCTAGCTCCACCAGCCCTGCCATGGGCAGGGACACCTTGCACTAGACCAGGTTTCTCCATGTCCAAGCTGGCCTGGAAGCTGAAGGCCAGGCTGGATGGAGCTTTGAACAACTTGGTCTAATACTGTTTTTAAATTCCTGCAGAGTATCACCTGAGGTAATAGGGATACGCAGAAAACAAACGCAGGAAACTTCCCAACCTATCTCACTTCATATAGAAATAACTTTCAGGAAAGATCTTATACAGCAGTATTGCACATAGTGCAGGAAAAAATGGGGTCTTAATAAATGTATGTAATGTAAAATGTTTTCAATTATTTTTACAACATAACTTACTAAAAGAGCATAATTTAAAGACCTGAAGGAAAACATAAGGTATTCAATTTAGAAGACTGTTCAGAAACCACTGACTTGCTATCCTTTTTTCTTTTAAACAAACATATTTGTACACAAAATAGTTGTCTACTTATAAAGTCATCTGTTCCTCTTGGTACTGTGTTCTTCCTGAAATCCAGATGCATCATCACATTTTCTTTTAAAAAACAGTTTCAGTATTTCTATCTAATTACAACTGATGCTTTTTTTTTTGTTCATTGCATGAACAAAAAGAAAAACATCTTCCATATTTACCTTTTCCCCTCAAACTACCTTCTCCGGAAGATCATTCAGTACAAACACAAGATTTCTTGATGTACAAAAGGGAGATGGGCCCGGTATGCTTCTATTGTCTGGATAAAAGAGTTCATAATACATACAAACCCATTCCTCTGAAATCTTCATTACAGGAAGTGCGAGATCAACATACAAAGTGCCCAAGGATTCTACACAGCCTCAAAGTGGAAGGCACCTACCACTCTGAGTGGCTTTGTAGAGGCTGCTGAGGGTACCTTCAGCCTGACCGTGTCAACGCACAGTGAGGTCTGTAACGGTTTTGACACAACTGAAAATCCCACAGTATTGTAATACCAAATGAAAGTAAGTGATGGCATTTCTGTGCATTCATCCTCTTCTGTACGAGCCTGTGAGCACCGCTACCAATTCAGATGGCAAAGCCCAAAGGAAAGATAGCTCTGGTTTCCCTGCACAGCAGAACCACCAGGAAACACAGACCTTCCCATGCGTAGCTCGCAGGTTTAGTCTGGAAATAACTTTTGTACTTACCCAGTCTGTGCAGGAGGAACAAAGCTCTCCCGGACTCGCACCAATTCCTTTGCCATAACTCCCTGCACTGCTCACATTCCAGCTTTCTCTAAATTTCCCTTCTTGTTAGCTTGTTTTATTAGATAACTACATACACTCTCTGATAATAAATGTGACTGCAAGCATAGCCAGTAACATAATCAAACACTCATTCCATTTTCTGTTATGTACTTACTTTTTATTACAGACTAATATGAAACCATCTCATATTTATACTAGATTTTAATTACTCAAGAGCAAACTTAAACCAGTCTTGAATGTATTTATTGCAAGCAGATTCATGTCTCCTGCTCATATATTCTACATAAGGATCCAAAATGTGACTGAGTATAAACAAGTTATATTTGGTTATCTACAGAAATAAATGTTAAAAATAGCACTGAAAAGAAACTTTACAGTAATGTCTTCACACACTGACTCTTCAAATCAAATAAACCAGGTGGTAGAGGATAATCTAAACATTTGATTTGAAGACTAATTTATTTTCAAATAAATGCACCTATAATTGTACAATTAAAAATAAGTGTCAGTATTTGGTGCTGGCGACTACAGACATCTGTAATGTTTAATGCACAGAGAACTACCCTCCAGCTCCCATACAGCAGCTTCCACAGATTCTACTTTACATTAGGTCATGAAAGGACATCTAAAATGCAGAGTGTACACAACACAGAATGTGTGTTGGAGACAACACCGGTTAAAACTCTGTGAGTTTTCAGAAGGTAAAAAATTAAAGCTCTATAAATGGATTCTTAGATTAGTCTGCAAAGTAGAATCATGTACTTTTCACTTTCATAATACTTTCACAAATTTCCATTAAAGCTTTTTTATCAGACAGTAGCATGAGCACAATGATCCCACTGGCTTCCAAAAGAAAAGTAGTGCAGTTGCTCCACCACTAACAGATTTTTTGTTTCCTTTCACATTTGCAAGCCAGTTGGGTCAAGACAAACAGGCTAATGCAAGCAAGAAAGTAAACTGGAAGCTTTTACATTAAGTGGCTGAATAAACAATTATCACTCATGGTGAAACAAAAAAGGTCTTTTGCCACAAGCCACTGTAGGAATATATGAACTTCAGTGGCCAAAAAGCTTGAAACACTAAGTCGTCACGTACATTTGGTTAGCGCTTACCAGCTTCAAGACAGTTACAGAAGCAGTTATGGAGACACTATGCTGTTAAAGCTGCAACAGTTTAAACAAGGCAAGTTAGGAAGTTATATAGGTTTCTATACTTTTCCCCTTTAATTTTTTAATTAATTTTAACACATAAAAATCTGTCTCTTTTCAGGGTCTCAGCCATAATAAAACATTCTAGCACAGTTTGAGCTACTTCTATTTTTTCATCTTTATATCATCTGATCCATTTACAACGGAACTCCCCGGTAACACCTGCTGCTGCAGTGGACTCTGTGTGTAGTAACAAAGACTGAAGCAAAAGCACCTCAAGTGAAACCCAGTCAATGTTGCATGGTTTTTTTTTCACTGACTGGTCTACTTTAACAAGCAAACTACCGACTTTTCAATGTAAAAGTATTGCTAAATCAAAGCAGAAACTGCCACTTAAATTCAAGCATTCTTTCTCCTCCCCAAAATGATGTGCTTAACTGAAATTTCCCAAGCACTTATAGAGGTGTTTCAGCCTGACTCATGTCAGTAGTTTTGAAGTGCAGGGCTACATGAAGTTTGCAATGAACTGCTTTATTAGTAGGCAGAACAGGAATGCAGCATTTTCAAAAACATCAAGCAAAAAATCTCATTTAAGGCTAAAAGATGGAACTCAGATAAGTAAAAAAGCAGGAGGCTTCAGAGAGTAAAAAAGCCAGCAGTAATAGCACAGCGCTGGAAGTACAGCGCTTTCCTCTCCACGGAAACTCCAACGGAACATCAATAGCTTGGGCGAGACTGAGCAGCAGACCTGCATTTCTAGTGTGACATTCATTAGTATTTTAACATTCAGCCACAACTCCACGCTAAGCTAAATCGAAGTGGCCAAAAACTCATAGGTATAAAAAAAGCCTTCAAAACATATACTTAAAAAAAAAAATAGAAATGGTGTGTTAACAAATGTATGCGTAAAACAGATTTATAAATAGCTACAGTATGAAAAATATTTCAGTGCAAAGGCAATTTTAAGATTTCTAAAAAATACATTACAAATAATTTGTTAACTACACACAAGAAATTTGTCACTGCTACTGGTATAAAATTTATAGCCATATTAACTCTTTAAAAATATATACACCAGTGTTTTATGTAGGGGATGGTTCTAACTGACCCACATTCAAGTCTGCAATGGGAAGTACATGTACACACACCCGCACCCACACACATATGTATTTCAAAGTGATACTACTATGAGGACATTCTTTGAAACTTAAAAGTGCTTGCTACATGTTAAATGGTAAAATACTTTCAGCTGTGGTGCTCCCCATTACACATCTTAAAATTCTCTTCTCTTTGGTTTACAGAAAATTTCACGACTTACTCTACAATCTCTGTCTCAGGCCATTTTAATAATATCCCACTGTTCAATGCGAAAATCGCCCAGAATATTGTGAACGACACTTCCTAGTAAGTAGGATTTTTCTTTTATTGAAAAGTAAATTAGTAAGTAAGCTATTTGTTTTGGTGGTTTGGGTTTTCTTTTTTTAGAACACAAAAGGGAAAATTTTTCTCTGCCTCCCTGGTCCATTCAAAATACAACTAACAATGTCTTGGCCAGGTCTTCCACTAAAGGCTGCAGCTCTGACTTCAGATATTTCTAGCTAATGTCCTCCCAGAGGTATCTAATAATGACTATAGTCATGAACCAGTTCTAATCACCGGGCTGAAATTGACTGAAATCAGATTACTCCTTCAGATATTTTTGCACCCCAAAATAAAACACTGGACTAACGAAACAAGACAAGGACACAGCTAATAGTTGAATTAGTGCCAGGTAACATAAATGTAGCAGAGAAAACAGAAGTGCAAGTTGGCTGTCATTCTTAAAGTCACTTAGAATCGTTGCAGTCAAACGAGTTCCTATCACAACTACGGTTCAACCGTTCGTAAACTGCCGTGTGCCACCTCGTGGTTCGACTGCAAAAGTTAACAGTTGCGTGCTTTGTAATACATCTAACCAAGCTGATTAGCCAGTATTTAACCATACACGGACAAAAACTTACATCAAAATTAAGAGGATGACTCCAGATAGTAAGAGTTGCTTATGTGGAAAAAAAACTTTTCTTCCTTTAAAGAAATAAATGTGTCAAAAAGGGCTCAATATATAATGCTGTTGGCTATGCCTATTTTATAATTACAGGCAGAGGACGTGGGAATGCTCTGACAAATTTGGAAAGACATTTTAGGCCAAATGCTTACGTTCAGGTTTTAAGTAGATACTAACATTGATATTTACCTACCTAACAGCCAACTTGACTTCATAGAGCATGTACATAATCCACACAAGGATTGTTTTGCCTATCTTTCTACGGGGGAAAGCTAACTTAAAACCAGACCTAGCCCTGATTTGGCCACTTACAAGGAAGTGAGCATTAGAGAGTGTTTCTTGAAAGCAGATTTGCACAGAGGAAACACCAGTTTGTTCTACAGAAAGAGCAAAGAAAGAAAAAGGACAGAGGAAAATCAGAAACAGTACTTGTTAAATATGATTTAGGAGACTTTCATTGGAGATAACTGAGGTCATTGTTTCTGGCTGAAAATTAAACCTGTTGAACTCAAAATGTAGGTCACTGACTGAAACTATACACTTCAAGTAACAAAGAAAACGACTAAAGATGACAGAAGCAGTAAATGCATAAAATTCTTGACACGGGATGAAGAGAATTTTTAGTGCTACCAGTCTCACAGTACCAGACTGTGCAGATTGTTCATTGCTCCAGTAGTTCAAAACATAAAAAGAGGCCTATTAGCCTGGAAGGGTTCATACTTCTAGCTCTTGATCCTGTTTGTCTGAACACTACCTCAGACTGCAAAAGCCACGTATAGTTTAATATATTTCTGTGACATGTTTGTTTCCTGAAAAAAGAAATAAACAGTTTTTAAAGGCTTGACTTGGTGTTCTGTCATACGGACGTTTCCAAACCTGACCCACTGTAGCGGTAGCCTGCACTGGGACGGCAATGCCTATTTGAATAGCCAAAGACAGATGGAAGTACTGAATAATCAATGCCTCTCCAGTGCGTAAACATCATTTTTTTAGAATGAGAATTAGACCTTCTTGCTGGGGAACTGCTGCAGTCACTGCTCCTGTATCTTGGGCTTTTCAGACAGGCAAGAGGTGTGAACTCTGAGATGTGCTCCTGACAGGGCCTCGATGCATCCTGTTGAAGGGAAAAAAACATATACACAGTAAACAAATGATTTTGGAGCTAGAAGTCTACAATTGTGTTCTTTCTTAGGGCCACTGTGCACTTGGTATAATAATGCCCTTCACTACATCACCACTGTGGCTATTTGTTTCATGTAAAGCTATAACCCCTCATACTGTTGAGCAACCAACCATTTTCAACATGATTAGTTTTATATTAAGACCTACAGAAGCAGGTGTAATTGTACACAGAATCTCTAAACCTGATAATGGGCTCTTCAGAGAACAGATGAAGACACAGAGGATTGCTTCCAAGTTGAATTGTTTTAAATCAGGTTTATATTTCACTTCGCGATCTCTCCTAGGATATCTTTTTTTATCTCTGAATGTCTTTAGTCAGGACTTTTTACAGGGAATTTTAAGACAGAACAGATTCAAGTACTTTGCCCTGTACTTCCAAAGAGATGGAATTCTTTACAATCAGTTAGTGTCAACAGATAAAGGTTCAAGAGGCTTAATGCACTTGCTTTGTACTTCTAAGCAGTATCTGATTTTGGACTTGCTTCGGTTACATGTAGCATCTATACAGCCAATTTATGCTATCTTGGCCTAATTGTCCATTAAAATTTATCTGTACCACATAACCACTCCACACTCTGGCAGAATCAGCCAGGAAATACTTGGGATTACAGTACCACCGCAGCTGCATGGCAACACCCTAGAACACATGCACGAACTAAAAGAAAATTAGCACAGCACTTCCCCCAACAAGTTTATCTAACTCTTCGCACTGAATGCACAAATAGTTTCCAGGTATAGAGGCACGGAGGTTATGTGATAGTATTTAAGCTATAAATGCATTATAAGCATGATTTCATAGAATCATAGGATCATTTAAGTCAGTGTTATCAATCACTCTCTCCACAAATGCTATGTAAGCCAGTCAATCCTCTATTCTTGATCATCCCCTTCCTCCTTTCCTCTTAACAGCAACACAAGAGCAAAAGGAATAAAATCACAAAGAAAATATTAATGATGTAGCTTATAGAAGTTTGGCTGAGATTTAATATTACACTTTTAAAATCAATCGCAAGCTTGAAGCAATACTTTTGAATAGCCAAGAGCAATCAGAAAACTCTCTTACAACAGGTACTCTTGGAAAAGTCAGTAAACTATACCAAACTGCTCACTAACAGTAAGGCCTGGGTTCTTTTAAACACACATATAGACCAAACACCATCAATACAGAAAAATGCAGATAATCAGCAGATTAGCAGACTTTGTTTTGGAAATGCTGGAAGGAGTATTCATACACTGTATGGGAACTATTTTTCCTATTGTTCCAGCGAGAAAGTGAGGCATTTTAGTTACTATGTGTATTTCTACAAATAAAATAATATTTTTTCTACACACAGCTCCAAGGCAAGCACTTTCAATCTGCCGTACCTGAAGCTGCTCAAGAGAGATGGGGTTTTCTACCACTATTTGTCTAGCAATCATTAGAAGTAAATCGAAAGCACCCCTCAACTACTGTGAAGCATCACAGCCCACACCAGCACATTACACTGCATCTGTCTTCTCCAAATACTGGAACTTTATGCACTCATTTCATTCCTTGTGTGCTGCTTCTCGGGTCAGGAGGGCATGAAGTGACTGGAGCAGACACGGCATTCAAGTAGGAACGTATCTGCATGAAAAAGTGTACCTTCTTACCTATATTCACTGGGGTAATCAATGGTGGGGCAAGGAGATGAGGTAAAGCAGAAAACTTCATTCTGCTGCCCTAATGTCTGGAGTATTTAGGAGCTCATTACCTGTGCTGGTGTCTCAAGTATTTGGCAAGACTACCACCCTTCTCTCTTGATCCGAGGCAGTGATGCAACAATGCACGGCTCTACATACAGCCCCAGTCTCTGTAACTGAGCCAAAGTCCTGTTCACAAATCGCTTCCTTTTGCATGGTTATTTTCCTGTTTTACTGTCTGTGTTTGGTCTATATATGTATTCAAGAGCACAAGAGATGATGGAAAAACTGCTTGTGTATGAGATTTCTGACTTCATGTATTCTACATGATAGTGTAATGTGAGTACAGTCTGCAATGATGACGACAGTTCTTATAGAAGAAATGTCACACAACACCTACACACATAACATAAGGTATTTGTAAGACTCTAATATGGGTATATTGATTCATTGCTTTTCCTTACACGAGTAAGCATCTGAGAGAAAAAGATCTTACCTGTGGCATGGAACATCTCTTACAAAAACTAGGCTCTCCAAGTAAAACATAATGATTTTGTATCAATATTGATAAAGTACATCAAAAACTCTGGAGGAAGTTGTATGGTTTGTAAATAGCACAGTTCACCAAGAGAAATTAATCCAAACTGGCAACACGTACAGTACTGTTACCTAGTTTTGATCTAATTATGGCTCGGAAGCTGAAAGATTTCCTTCAAGAAGTGGCCCATCGCTGTTCGCCAGTGCATTTAGGGCTGTTTTATGTCTCATACTCTTCTGCAAGGATGAGGAAAAACAGTGAGACTCTTGCTGAATACAAGAGAGAAATGTGAATGAACTGTACCATTTGGTACAAATGTTACTGTTTTAGCAAAGTCCCATAGAAGTGATGGATTTTCTGACATTTAAAATTGCAAGGTTATCCTGTGTAAAACAAGGTTTCTGATTCTTGATGCTGAGGTTATCATTTGAGCCCCTCTGAAGATGTTTCTACTTCATTTCAAACTCTGTTAAAAATACTTAATTACTCTCAAAAGCACTTAATTGTACCATTACTAAATACCATGGGCTGTCCTGCCCCTTTGACAATCACCTGTCCTTGGTTGGAAAGGACCTTAAGATCATCTAGTTCCAAACCCCTTGCCATGGGCATGGACACCTCACACTAAGCCATGTCGCCCGAGGCTCTGTCCAACCTGGCCTTGAACACCGCCAGGGATGGAGCATTCACAGCTTCCCTCGGCAACCCATTCCAGTGCCTCACCACCCTTACAGTAAAGAACTTCTTCCTTATATCCAATCTAAACTTCTCCTGTTTAAATTCGAACCCATTACCCCTTGTCCTAAACCAAGTAGATTGCAAATTAAGGACCACACATCCACCTTTGCTACTCCCAAGCACAACTGGCTGGGGAGGTGATGGGGCCAGTGCTAATGAAGGCTGACTGACAGCTTTGTCATTTCACCATGAGGAGAGGGCAGGGAGTTACCAAGCTACCTTCTACCATATTATTTAAATATTGCAATGGCAAGATCTGTTTCTTTGTTTTCAATAGGAGTCCAACACATGACGAAGGCAACAGTTTGCTGGTGACCAGTTTTCTAAGAGAAACAGAAGAATAATGAATCCCCAGAGAGGCTTCCCCAGGCAAAAGGACCACTTTGGGTTTCCCCAAGTGCAGCAAAGGGTAGAGATCTCATAAGGAAGCTAACGGGCAGATCTTGTGGCTGAAGTGAAAGTGAAGTGAAAAAACAATCAGCGAGAAGCAAAGAGAAAAAGAAAAATATTTCCTAAAAAGGGATGAAAGCACAGAAGTTATTTACAGCTCAGAATCTAAGCACCTGGTATTGCAGCTACAAAATATTTGGGATTGCTGAAACACTGTCAGTTGACGTGACAATTATAAAAAGAGGAAAATTTCAAGGGAATTTATATTTTCCCTAACAGAGCTGCTGAGCTGCTTCTATTAATGAAAGAAGAATAAAAAAAAGGAAATATAATCAATTAATAGAGATTGGATACATTAAAGAACACCTTATTGCTTTTTAAAAGTAAAGGCTGAAAGAAACCTCACAGCTGCAGAGTTTCCAGTTAAAGCACAAAATTCAGCTTGTTTCATTGAGCCAAAGAGTCGCTGGGACTACAGTACTAGAAATGAGCAGATTTTGACCAGAATTACCAGAAGGCAACAGATTCCTCCAAAGCTTTTGCAGAATTAATGTTTTAGCCCAAGAAATACAACAGTTCATACATGTGTGTGTATATATATAAAAGTATACATGCACATATATATACACGTAGACCTGTATGTACTATATGTACATGCACACACACACATACATGTCTTTGTGTGTGTGTATACATATAACTGAAAAGCTCTCTCAAAAAACCCAGAACTGTAACTAGAGTGTTTAAAACCCCCTGAATGATAACAACGGTTAACTATCTATTACCCACCACACACTGAAGTACTCAAGAAAGGAGAAAAACTTAGAAGCCTATGAACTACTTAAAAGCTCAGTTCAAACCAATCTGAAGGCACTTAAAAGCCAATTTTAGCCAGAATTTTCAATAGTGAAAAAAACTTTGTGAACTTTCCCCATGACTTACATAATTACAGTCACTTTTATTGGCTATGCATTTTTAAAGGGGAAAGAAGGAGGAAATGTGTATTTTATCTTAACCAGTTAAAAAATAAAGATATAAAATCTGCAATGGAAACCATCAGTCTTGTAGTATTAAGTAAAAATTATTTTCTTGCAGACCAGAGAGAAGCCAACATTTACTAGCATTTCTTCTACTTTTATGTTATATTGATTGTCACATACTTCTGAATCTTGAGCTGCTTTCTTTCTAGAAAAAGTACAAAATTTCATAAAATGGAATACATGCTGGACGTAACTTATGAATAAAAAAGTTGCATTTCCTTTTATCACAGCACAGCAGATATATTAATATATTCCAAAGATGGCTGAAATGGCTTCTAGTACCACATTTTCTGTATGACGTTAGTAACATCAGCATAATCAGAATTATCACTTCTTTGTGTGGCAACTATTCCATGTACTCAGGCACAGTGCAAATGTGACATGCGTTCACCTACTGACAGACCAATGATTAAAATGGGGATCTAAGCATTCTAGATTCTTGAGGCATAAACATTATGTAAAATACAGTGACAAAAATGACAGTGATAGTGACAGACTGTGACAATGATTCATAGAGTCTTTGAGATAAACACAAGAAGAAAACAGCTATACTAAAAAGTATTCTTTTTCAGAATATAGTTGATGTGAGTCAGAAATGGAGATGAGTATGGTAAATAACTTCTGATGATAAATTTTTCACTGTCCTTTGAATGAAATGGCCAAGCATGCAGAAAGGCAGAAAAAAGTCACCTTTTGTTCCATTAGAAACTTAGACTGCTTGAAGTCTGAGAAAGCATAAAGATGGTGGACTGCTCAACAGAAAGGCACTGATGCTTAGTCTGATTTTCCCAGGAGATTGTAGGAAGTAACCGTGCACATCATTTATGTTTAAAGCAAGGCAGCAGTTATTTAGACAAAGCAGATTGGAAGACAGAAAAAAACAGAGAGGGAAGAAGAAACACAAGGGATATATCTGGTTAAAAGTCATTGATTTTCTACTAAATATAAGAAAGTGAATACTGCCAGTGTTAAGCCCAAAGTCTGCTTTACAATCAATTCATTTTCCAGCATTAATATACAATATCTGTAAGAAATGCTGTACTACCTTTGCTTGGGCTTTTGTTTGCTAGCTTGTTTCTTCATATTAACCCATTCTTATTTTCTCTCATTACGCTTTTAAGCATACAGAACCTATACTAAGATCAATTTTTTCCACAAATCACAGACATAAAAAGAGAACAAAATATATGGCAAAACAGAAAAACGCTAAATGCTTTGAATGCTTTTCTGCTATTTATTATTTCCTGTCTTCCTTAAAGTGTGGCATTTTCACAACTGTGCATTCAAGGAATACAGAACAATGGCAAGGGGTTTTACTTTGCAGATATGAGAGAAGAATTTTTTACCTTTGCCAAAGGGAAAATTTTACTTTCCTTGGAAGTAAAGTTCCTTTATTCCTTTCCTCTTAATACAAAGTATCTTCTCAAATAAACATCAAAATGCTAACTAATCCCTACAGACAGAGTTGCTGGTAACTCATTATTTTAACCTACAAGCTGCAGTTGATGGGCTGAAAAATGCAAGGGAAGTAACATTAAGTTTTAGGTTCAATACCTATACTGTCCTTCACCTTCTAAACATATATAATATATGAAAGTTTGCTGGGGTCAAAAATACAGGTAACACGTTCTATTGCATTTGGTTTGATGAACCCAGCATAGTACCATGCTTCCCACAGAACCTGGCTTCTTTTTCAGCCTCAGCAGAGCAGGCCTGTATTTGCACAGTAGTTCCTCCTTTTTGGGCTGATCAGAAGAAAGGAGGCAACAGATTTTAAAATACTTTTTCCATTGGTACAGCAAGGCACATTTATGTAGAAATAACATATCAGAATGGGTAAAGTGTAAGTTGAAATATAAAAGAGAAAAAAAATATTAAGAAATACGAGTAAGTTTTAATACATGTGTGGTTTTATCAGGCATAGTTAAGTACAAAATAATTTGCTATAAAAGTATGCACAGATCATGCAATATGAATGTTGGCATGAGTTTACTACATATTCCTTACCAACTTTCGATATACTCATCACATTTATTTTAAGTATATAAACTCTAGATGTGTTCAATAATAATAGTGCTGAACCGTTTATCTGTCTCCCTCCATCTGCATCAGCTATTTCCCTGTGGTTGCTGGAACAGAGGCATGGGGGCTGCCCCGGGATTCAGGTAAATACCACCGTGGAAGTAACAGGCAGTGACTTTCACCATACCGCTTAGAAGTGGCTGATGTGGAACTGGTGATACATACCACAGATGGGGAACCTCTGCTCTAAGCTTGTCTCTAACCTTGAACTAGGAGTAATTATTAGAGACTTGTGATACAGAAAACTAACTTCACAATGAAAAATATTTTTACCTGGATTCTTTCTGTTGCTGTAGGCCACAACTGTCTGCATAAGACCTTCTTGAGAACATCTGGAAGAAGGCTGACAGTTATGAGCAGAATTATACCCAGCCACGCAGGACCACTAGACAGCATTTGCATGAACACGTAATACATCCTCTGATAATTGAGAAAAGGCCTAGTAGGAAAAAGATTAAATAGATATTACATTTCAGTACACAAAGACTGGCCATGTTAAATGTAAGAACTACGACACTGATTAAATACTTCAACTTCCCAGTCTGCAGGAGTTCATTCATCCCTGTTTTCTCAAAAAGTGATCTAAAAGAGGTAACTACCTTCTTGTTGGCCTCCAGGTTGCAGGAAATACCATGATCTGTCCTCCCTCCCACCAGAAACCCCAACACTTTCAACTGTCTTAAAAAGCTTCTGACCAACAATAGAAGAATTAGGTGCTCAGATATCTACAGTAGATCTACTTGCTAAAAAAGGGCGCAAATAGTAAGCACAAGTACAGGACTCTTGGTCATCCACACAACTCCAGCATGAGTACTGCTCCCTGGCTCTAGCTGAGACTGCTAAAGATAGCTCCCTCCAAGACAAGCCCAGAAGGTTAGCACCAAGCTGCACAGACATGACCTACTCAGTGAGATTTTGCCTCAGCTCCTTGAACCAACCCTTGGACTGCTTTGACATCTGGTATCCTTATATTCTTCTTTAAGAATATTTTAGCAGACAGTGAAAGAAGAGCTGAGCATTCTCTAATTATCATTACAGGTGTGCTTAAAATGTGATTGCTGTTGAGAGTTCTGCAGTATATAAGCACTAAATTTAATTCTGTTTGGGACAAAAAGGTGAAATACATAACAACTTTCATGTTTCGGACACAACTTTTGCAATGCAGTTTATATTAGGGTTCATACCAAATAATTCCTCCCCAGAGCAGAGAAAAGACAACGTAGAATACCAGTGATCCCCAGATCATGAAGTGATTTATCCACGTCCAATAGTGTGTATCTAGTGCAAGCTGACAAAAAACAAGTGAGATCATATGGTGCTGTTACTATCTAGAAGCAACAGAATACGCATCAGGAGAGAAAATAAAATTACACCCTTTGAAAAAAGAGAATGATTCTACATAGAATCAGCTAAAAGACTTTTTTCAGTTTTGAGCACAGTTAAGAAAGCACAAACAGCAAAATCTGTATTTAAATTAATATGACAATGTATTTTATAGAGATAAACTGATATAAGTTAGCAGCAATAAGAAAACAAGCCTTAGGAAAATGTCAGTGGATACCTTACCTTCAATGTAACTGTGAATACAAGCACAGTGAACACCAGTGTTCCAAAGGTCCAGTTTCCAAACATCTATAAAAAATAGTCCAAAGCAGTTATACGTAATATTGTCCACTATATGAATCGTCTAAAATAAGCCTCCTAAAGCTATGTATTGCTTTGTATCAGGAACTCAACAGTCAGGCAAAACCACTGAAATCCTACATGATCTACCCAGTGCAAAATGTTTTAGTTTCTTGCTCTTATGTGTACACACCTCAGATTTCATACAAACACGGGAAAAAAACCACAATTGATACACTTAATCTGAAGCTCAGTTATGTTTCCTAATTAAAATCAAGTGTAGCACTAATAAATCACTGAGATTTACAAATGAACTGGAGCAATTTCATCAGTCTTCTTTGATACCACCTTTTCTCTGATCTCCCTTCTCTTGGTCCTTGATACCCCAGAATTTCTTGGAGGTTCAACAGCATGTTATACAGATGAGTAACAGAACAAAAAGAATGTGCTAACCATTAAAGCCATGTAAGTATATAGATGTTCTACATAGGTTTTAAGATTAAACACTTTTGAATTGTGGTTTATTTTCTCCACACCTGCATGAAATAAAAACACTTGAGCTTTTCAAGTGGCAGAAATTATCATTAATGCTGATGGAAGGAAGAATTGTCTGTGAAAATGGTCACAGAGGGCTGCCTGGACTGCAGCAGCTAAGATACAATCAGGTTCAAGATCTAGAGAAATGCTATGAAAGTAAGCAACAGAGTTCAGACAGTGTATTTTAGGAGAAGAGACTTTGACACAGGGTATTGCACCCCTGAGAGAGAAGGGTGCCCAAGAGAGCTGAATGACTTTGAAAGAGACAGCTGCTGTGATGTCATGAGCTCCCTTCTGCAGGAAGAGATGGAATTTCAGAAGACCACCTCGCTGGGTGCTCAGGATGTTTCTCAATGAACAAAAAGGCAAAATGGGAGCATACAAGAAAAGTGCAAAGTTTTGCATCAACAGAGGAGTAATGCCATGTGGTGGAACTGACAGGCTGACCCTGCTGAAAAGGAAGTTGTAGTGCGGTTACAGTGGATGCGAGGTTGAATACAAGACTATACTGTGCTCTATACATAAGAAAAGCTGCAAACTGAGCTGTACTGGGAGGAACACGACCACTGAAGAAAGGTTATTATTCCTATCTACTTGACTATAGTGAGATTGAACCTGGAACACCATGCCCAGTTTGGGGCACCTCAGTTCAGGAGCGATGTGAAAAAAAATAAATGAAGGGATCAACTGGCAGGCAGCCAAGGTGGTTAGCAATATATAGCTCTCCTGTGAAGAGGCCGAAGGACTTGTGTCTGGTAGAAGTTAAGGAACAATCTAGTAGCTGCTCACGAACATTCGAAGAACAATTATGGAGATGAAGAACCGGAACAAACCTCTCTTCAGCAACAAGAAAAAGTCTGCTTAGGATTTAGGAGATTTTCCATTATGAACGCAAATATTGGAAGAGGTTGCCCAGGAAGGTTGTGGAATCTATCCTCAGGGATATTCAAAACTTGAAGAAGACTAGACAATGCCTTGAGCAACCTGATTTTAATTAGTCCTGCCCAAAGCATAAAGTTGAATTGGATCACCTCCGGGGTCCCTTCCCATATACATCATTCTGTAAGAGCTCGCCCAGTATTAGAAGACAGGGGATCCACATGGGCAAGTGATCACACAAAAATGTTGCTGCAGGAAAAACTCCGAACAGCCAGCCATGAGGCAGAAATCTGTAGGAAACTAGGCTGAGAATCCAATCAGTTTGGAACAGAAAGTAATTTTAAAATATTCAAATAATTTTAAAAATAAACATATGACTGGCTGAAAGATTCATTTTTCTGAGTATCCATTTCAGTATTCTAAAATTACACAATGTGTGACCAAGTGTAGAGAACATAAGATGAAATGCAGAAAACCTTCAGCATTTTGACCTTTTACTTTGATGCGCAATGTGATAATTTCATAGGTCATGACATTGCTACAATATTTTATGTGCCCTAAAAAAAGTATCAGTGCATGGACAGGAATCTAGTTCAGGAACTTCAAATTAGGTCATTTACCGACTGTTTGCAGTTAAATTTTACAGTACTCTCATGTCATATCTGGCATCTCTCAGACAACCTAGTGTCAGTCTAGCTTTCTGCACACTGAACAGATGAGTCTGTATTTCCAATAAAAGCTGCCAGATTAAATAAAAAAACCTGAAACAACCTTCCTCTGCTTCTGTCAGGCTAGACAGAAAGCATCAGGCTGCAACCAACCCTTCACCTACCCACCTTTTCAGTTTAAAAATAAGGTCACAGGAAAGGCACACAAGGCTCCATAAGGTTGTTAACTTAGCACAGAGAAATGCAAGCAGAGCAATATGGGACGATGTGAGTTACAAAAGCTCATAATGTATTTTCAGCATTGAATATCTCAAGATGCGACTCGTCTTCAGGCTGTGAATCATTCTTTTGTATGCCTGTTAACATCTAGTTTATGAAATGTTTTTCCATGCTCTGCTCCCAGCCTATCCAATTCTTCCCCTCCTCCTGTGACTGTATTTGTTGATCCTGCATGTTTTTGTTCATTATTCTAGTTAACTCTCCCCCTTCCTACTGTTTTGTATTTCTCACTCCGTTATTCCTTTCAACTTAGTTTCTCCTACCTATCTGAACCCAGCTTAATTGTATTTAATCCACTTTTCACTAAACATCAAAAAAAACACAAAGCCACACATGGGGAATACATTTTATTACACGGGTAAACTGAAAAGCCATTTACAATCTGCAAGTACTTCTACAGTCCCTTCTCTTCTTTCCTTCCTTATGTAGCAGGTCTCTATGTTTTAATAACACCAACAATGACGTCATATTCAAAGTGGAACACCATTCACGCAAAGCAGTACCACCAATTAATAATAATATAAGATAAATCTTTTGTATCTTAGATGTATTTACCAGGAAGTGACTGAGACAGGCATTTATGAAGTAAACCTCAGTCATTAAAAGTACATATCTTCATTATCATAGAAATAACATTCAACAGCATGGAAACAGTTTCAAACAAATTTCTGAATGCTGAGAAACATCCTGGTGGGGAAGTATGTTTGGAAGCAAACTTAATGGTATGCAGTCTGACACAGCTATTAATTTAAATTAATTAATTTAAATATTGACTTCACTTTTTACTCATTTTGCCACAACGACAATTAGTTTCTTTCTGGAGGGAAAGAGGAACTAAAAATTTTTGCTTTAGCAGCCATTTTAGCAAATTGGAACTTAGCCTGAATCACCTGATATCATTTATGAAATTAGTGGTACCTTCAGCCCCTTTAACCTGTGCCCTGTTCTACAGTAACATATTGTTGCGATAAACCTTTCAAATCTTTCACTGACTTTTTCCAGATGTGAGCATAATTTAAATACTTGGAAATAATCATCAACAACTAGCATTCATGCATGTATGAACTCATCTATGTATCTCTGGCTATACCTGAACACTAACATTTTCAAGCCTAAAACTGCAACTCTTAAGTTTTATACACACACACAAGCATGCATGCTGAGTAATGAATTTTTTTATCTACTGTGACACTCGAGTCAGAGTATCTCAAACAACACATTTTATCACCAAATATTAACTTGGGTATCCAGTCATAAATATAAACATTCACAATTTGCAAATTAGGTACTAGTCTGGCTTGAGAGCTTTATCAAGAATTTGACTGAATGTGTGCTATAGGAGAAGAATAAAATTCAAGAAGGAACTCAGAATATTTGCAATACAAACCGTGTATAGGTATAAGTTGTCTAGTTTTCAGGACTGTAAATATAAGCCGATGCAGAATTTTTAATATCTAACACAGCACATAATGGTACCAGGAAAAGAAGTGCTCCAGTGTACAGTTATGCCTAATGGAAATTCACTCTGTCCTTGTAAAAGCTCTTTCTAATACGTGTTCTCGATCACACTAGAAGTTTGTTTTATAGAATCATAGGTTAGGGTTGGAAGAGACCTTAAAGACCATCTAGCTCCAACCCCTCTGCCATGGGCAGGGACACCTTCCACTAGACTAGGTTGCTCCAAGCCCTGTCCAACCTGGCCTTGAACACTGCCAGGGATAGGGCAGCCACAGCTTCTCTGGGCAACCTGTGCTAGTGCCTCACCACCCTCACAGTACTTCACTGATATTTGAATATTGCATTTCTAGCAAACATGTACATTACATCCAGGTAACAAAACTCTGCACAATTTATTTTCTCTCACTTTGAGGGTCTTTTCTAAAGCTATTCGAGCACTTTATAGCATAAACTGTAATAATTTTTCTATAGCAGAGTCAGCAGCAAAATGTAGGCCACAGAAAAACACAGAACAAAGTAAGAAAATGCAAGGAAGCAGAAAGCCTACTTATTTTTTAAAGTTTATGGTTCTTCACCATACCTCATATACCTCAATATACATTATACTCTATAGAAACTAAGTATTTATAAAGTACAATAAAGAACATTTCTATCTATAAATTTAAGTGATATTTCAAAATAATTATAGGAAATATTTAACTGCTCTTTAACAGTTTAATTAAAGAACAGTGAAAGATGAAATGGATATCATGACAAATCCACAATAGTCTTACCATGTGAGTGCTGGTTGTCATTAGCTGAGGATAGGAAGAGAAGCAAGTAGCAAAAAGAAAAAAAAGCACACAAATAAAATAGACCAAAATATCAATGGGTAAAATAAATAAAATGCAAAAGTTCTTAAAATTTGCATTCATGTGACTGCAAAGCAAGTAGAGATAAGATTATTTTAAGCTGCCATATGTCAAAAATCATTGAAATATTAAAAAGCTTGTTATATTTAAGTTCTTTTATGATCATTTATAACTACTCTACAAGACTTTTGATATGTTAATCAGATATTCAGCAAATGCATGTTAAGCATAAAAGCTTAAAAGTTACTATGTGAATTCTGAAGGAATAGCTGGAATTTATTATATATATCTCTGTTGGATATAGTCCTATGCCTATTTACTGATACACAGCATATCCTATTGCATACTTCAGACTTTGCTAAACAGATGACCTATCTATCTCACCATAACTCATAAAAGTTATCTGTGCTGGAAATACTGAAGAAAACAAATCTATGTTCATAACACCATCAACATTAAAAAATTACCTTTGATTGACTGATCAAACCCAACACTAACCTGTCCATTGCTGGTCACAACTGTGTTGTCATACAATAAATAGGCACCAAAGAAAAATACCACAGCATCAAACACTCCTAGGAATGTCCAATAAATAAATGCACGCCAGCGCAGCAAAGCATTCTTGGCAACATCTCTGTGTAAAATAAAATATACACATTCATTATCAGCATGTTCTAAAATCCCAAACAAATGATGTCACTCACTGTTTTTTGAAGGAAAACCAATTAAGAATTGCATGTAAACCCACAACATTTCCACATGACGAGTGCCTACCACTTCACATCCAAATCCTTTCTGAATGTCTCCTCTTTAGTATTTTTAATTCTTCTAAGCCCTTTTAACTGTTACCTGTAATTCTTATTTCAACTGTGTGGTAAATTCCCCTGTGCTCTCCCATTTATTTTTCAATCTTTTTACAGAAGGTTTCTGTTTTCCATTACTTGCTGTGCATGTGATGATCCACTGTAGATTTTAAATGGAAACACTAGAGGTCTCTGGAGACTTTGCTTTATTTCCCACGGGGTGCTTTTATAGAGAATATTGTAATGAAATATTCATTTTATGTGGAATATGCAAAGCAAGGATTTTGCAGTTCAGTTGAAGCTTCAGGTCAAATGGTATTTCCTGACTGTTTTCCCACAAAAAAATACAGGGATTGGGCAGCAACAGAACTGTCCACTAGCTTGCATTTTCTTATCACAAAAAAAAGTTAATATTACAACCTTAACTCCTACACACAGAATAAGTATATATCAACTTGGCATATATCATAAAACTCATCAGAGTAAACCAGAACACAGTTAAGTGAAAATCCTGAATTACGGACACATTTACTACCAACAACTACTTTGACCGTAGGTACTTTAAAGACTATCTGATGATTACATGAAGTCAGTTCTCCCTGCAGATTACCAATAAATTGCACAAAACTGTATTTGGCCAACAATAACCTCATCTAGCCAGAACAACTGCACCATTGCCCAAAACAGCTTAGCAATAAACTGTTATAACAAAACCAAAATGTTTTTGACCAAATAACCTTCGCTAGCTTTCAAAAAGCAGAAAGGTCTTATGAATGACCATTTCTAAACTGGAAACATTTAAAATGTAGAAGAGAAAATAAAAAGGGGTCAACAGTAACATCCTATATTCCTCTTCAATTTCACAGCTAAAAACTTATAATTGCATTGATTAAATTGATTAACCTTTTAGCATCTAGTATTATCTCTCTCAAAAAATGTTTTTCCTTTGATTATCTTCTGCTGCCACTATCTGAAATGTACTGGTTTTGCAGCTGGGCATTGCTCCTAATTTATGTGGCCACATGCAGTTACACGGCAAGAACTATATTGCAAGTGGCTAAGAATCTAAACCAGTGGCAACTTCAGTGCCCAGAAGCACGTCAACAGTATGCAGAGGACAGTGTTGGACACCTCGTAGAATTCTATGGTACAACACTCTACCACTCTGTCCTCTTTCAGAATAAAGCATGTATATAGAAGAAATGGTATGCTTTCTCTTTTTAAAATCCTGTTCCCCATAGCCAGAAGAAAAAGAAGAGCACTAAAATATATGTGTCTGTTGTAGTTTATAGACTGTACATATGGTCTTCAACCTTTCTGTTGCACTTTATCTGACGTTCTACTCCCACTTTGTGGCATGGAAATCTTGAGGACTTCCATTACAACAGAGACAGATCTCACAATTGAACAAACAACTTTGGGGCACAATGTATGAATTTTACCTGTACAGCGAAGGCTCTCTCTTGAGTGTGTCTGCACTGACATGTTGCTCCATTAGACCGTAAAAGAGGATAGGAAGGGAAGTGAAGCTGATATTGTACAATGTTAGATACGCAGTATCGTATAAAGTCTGTAGATGGAAAAGAATTAAATCTGCTAGTTTTAATTTTAAAACACAATCCAATGCATGGCACTTGATTTGAAATCAGTCAACTTTTTTTAAAAAACAAAATGTATCCCTTCAGAAAGGAGGCAAATATTCCTGAACAGCTAAAACAGGCAAGATAAAACTACGCACTTGTACCCTGTTCATCTGGAGGACAAAAGGTCACCTAAGAGATTGATTTAATAGTCTTGTCCATGTAGCAGCCCCTCCTGTTGTTTCAACTGCAAGACACCCCACAAATTTAAAGAAACAATAATATTTTCTCCCAATTAAATCTTCCTCTTGTACAATTTAAACCTGAAAACAATCCTCTTGTCTAAGTCTGGTCATTCATTCCTTTGGGTTTTCCTCCATCATTCAGAAGAAAATGATAGATTTTGCTCCCACAAATTAGATGAGAGCAAGGGGTTGAAAAGTAAAGAAAAAATTTAGAAACCAGAATACTGGATCCTGTCCTGAATGATGGCACATTTCTAGTGAGCAGCAGTTCACTTTTCCTCTATCTTTCTATGCGCTGGGTTTTTTTTTCTTTTCAACTAATTGAATGCCACTATTTGTCCGAATTTTGCCATGCATACCTGTACATACCAGAAAAGACGAGTTTATTCTTCCATTTTCGGTCTGAATTCTAAAAATTAACAACCAGTTCAATTACTTATCTTTCAGGATTCCTTCTATCTATGTTCAATAAGCTTAAACCTGAAAGACTACATTTCCCACAGGCATTCCACTTTGCACTGCAGCTCCAAATTTTGGTTTCCTGTATTCTTTGACTTTGAAAATAACACTGCGTTAACAACACTTCATAAGGTTGATTTCTGAAATGTAACTGCAACTGCCACTGAAAATTACATGAACCAAAAGAGATGCTGCTCTTTTGACAATGTATAAACTAACCTAGAAATTTTGTCAGATGAACAGGCACAGCGTTAAACAGTCAACTCTCTTGATGGAAAAAAAAAGAAAAAAAAAAGAAGCCAAAGAGAAAATATGGCAGCGAGGGGAAACGCAACTAACCTGTTGTGAAAACCCACAGAAGAACTGATATAAAAACTGAGGAAAAATGAAGCAGACATTCTGAAAAACAAAGTGACACAGTCATCAAGTGGAATACAAGCAGTAATTTATATACTGAACAATGCTATATAGCTGTGCGTAGCATAGTTTTATAACACTAGTAAGTATTGCACGAACAGTAGAAAGAGCTGCATACATTAAATATCAACATTCTCATCTTCCCGTAGTACTATTAAGAAAAATACTTAAAATATTTTGAAAACAAACTTAAGGCTACAGTTTCAAAATTCAAGGGCAATGTATTTTGCAACCCAGGAGCACAGCTCAGTCAAGGCAAGGCAAACAAGGGACAATGCATGGTAGGACACAATATCCGGTAAAGCAAGCATGGACACCCTGGTTAACATGCTTCCCAGCAAAGTAATTTTAAAATGTTTCTAAGTACAGTCCCAGACATCATCGTCTCCTAAGTATACACATGGTCAAACACCAAGACCTTGAATTATCTTCTGAAGGGTCCTTTCTATTATCTTCCATCATTTCCCATCATTTAGACATAACAAATTGTCTAAACAGAAGGATGCACATGATAAACTACCCTGATGAAAATAGAAACTAACGTACATTGAGCTAAGCCAAGTTCTCAAATGCTGTTTCCAACTTAATTTAAAAGGCCACTGTAGAGAGAACCCAGAAGGTACTGAAAATAAGCAGAACAGTCTGTGATGGAATTTGTAAGAATTCTTTTTTTTTTTAATGCAATTAATGCTTTTTGTATTAACAGTGTAAAGTGTATATAGATATTACCACGTAAATTTGAGATTAATGTAATCAGAATAAGCATTCTCCTACCTTATAAAAGAAGTATTGCACAAGTTCAGATATCCTAACATAATAAAAATGCCCATGAACAAGCAACATTTTTTTCAAATGTTTAAATTTAGGTATTGCATAGTCACTGTTTCTTGCGGCTTGACGACCTTCTTTGCCAATGATTCCTTTAAAAGAAAAAGTGATGAAGCTGTTTAACAACTGAAGAACTATTTCAAAGACACAATTATTTGAAAAATTCTATATTAATGCTATGACACCCATCTAGTAAGAGATCACCATGGTAGTTACCTGGGGTAAATTCACTAAAAGTTGTCTACAAAATGTATAAGCTGATTCTTTGAGACTGCCTGTTTTTAAGAAGTGAATGCTTTTTGTCATCTCACTTGAATTAATAGGCTAAAAAGCCCACTTACCTATGCCAACATGTGCTTCTAGAATCATACTGACATCATTTGCTCCATCACCAATTGCTAATGTAATAGGATGCTCCTTTGATAACTTAATCAATTTCACAATCTGGAAAAAAATAGTGTTAAAAACTCTTTTCTGTTATGGTTTGCTTGTTTTGTATAAGCTTACAAGTAATGAAAAATGACCAACACAGTTACATAAGAAATTCCGTGAAGGGACATAAAACCAATATTACCCAATGCAACTACTATGAAGATCACAGTAGTTTCTTCATATTAGAAGTATTTGTTCCAAATATAAAATAACAGTTTTCAAATACTTTCAAACTATTAAGAGATACAGATAGTAGGAAGGAAGGGCAGAAGAATGGAAGGTGTTGAGGTTGCTTAATGCAGTGTAAGCACATTAATAAATTAAGAGGGTTCCAGAGACAAAGAATACAATTTCAAAGAAATCCTGAAATAAAGACTGAAAGATTCTGCTTTCTTAACTGTGCTGATGTTTTTTTTCTTATTATTTAAGAAAAGATAATAAGACTGTCTATATATCTAAATATTGTTGACATAGAAACTGTCCAAAAATTTGACCTCAAATCCCTCCACTGTAAATGTTCACCTATGTTCATTTGGTACTGAATCAGTTCCAACTAAAAACTACAGACTTCCAGACAGTTAAATTGCTGGATAAATACATGTGTTAAAATGAATAAAGGGCTACATATGCTGTACCTGAGCACTGAGAAAGAGACATGACAGTTTGAAAGATAAAAAGTGTATATATAAAAAAGTGTATATAAGAAAGGTAAACGTCTCCTTCCTTTAAAAGTTCTTCACTTATATTGAGATGTTTCAGCAATGGAAACATATGTTTTTACTTGATACAAACTAACATACAACAATTAAGAAGTACTTAAAAATGATAATGCACACATTTTTCTGTCTGGATTCTTTTTTCTTGGCTTACCACTTAAAAATAAAGAAGTATCACTCTACAGTAATAATGCAGGTTCTTGTAGCATCAACAGGTAGCAGACTATTCAAAGCTTGTTAGGTTAAAAAGGAAGTAATTAGGTCAGTTCATTAAATATGTTCCTTATCAGCATGTGCCAACCATAAAATTTGCACAATATGTACATATATCAAATTCAGGTGCACAGCTGGCTGCCCTTTTAGCATACCATTATCTAAACTGCTTGACAGGAGAAATTCTTCCCTCTCTCCTGGTATTTTTTTTTTTGCCTTTTCCATTTTAGAAAATACAAAAGTGAATGGTAACATTTTAAGTTATCAGCATAAGTTATAGAGAGGATTAACTTTCAATATTACATATGTGCACAGCTAACAAGCAACTGCAAAATGAAATACAAACCTGTGCTTTTTGTAGAGGTGCCATTCGACAGCATAACACTGCACTGCAGTTCCTGCAAATTTCAAGAAAGAGCTCTCTGTAGTTACCAGAGCTCCCATCTTGTCGTGGTTTCATTATTAATGATAATGCTGCTCCATCAATAATTAAACCATAATCTTGCATATCAGTTGAAAGTCTGTTCAGGGATAAAATATAAACGAAGAGACACTGTAAAATTCTCAGACACATTTAAAATCTGGCAACAGCGATTTTGTGAAAATTAATTAATGAAAAATAATGACTATGGAATACTGCAAAATTAATATACTTCTAAAGGAAATTCCTGCTATTTATGACATATTAAAATTCTAGATTATTGAAAATATTCAGTGCTTCACCAGTTCAAAGACAGAAACCTGATACCTCGGTGACTCCACCAGTGTGTATGAGTGTATAATTAATGACCTTTAAAGTTCTATTTGAAAGGACTCTGAGAACTACAGTGAGGTAAACTGATTTGCAGGAATAAAGTTAATTTTGTGGCACATTCCATAATAAAAACAAAAAAGGTTAAAGGAAAAGGCCTCCAAAATTTGCTTTGATGAGGAAAATACTTCTTTTTTTCTTCTTTTTTTTGTTTTTCTGAGGGAAAATGAAGTAAACCATGCTCTGAAGGAAATGCCCGAAAGAGACTTGTTGGCCTGAAGAACCAAGGCCACTGTCTATCTTTAGAGTACCTATCCTTTGTGTTTAGTGTGGTGGGTAAGTCTGATACAGGTATACCTGTAATTATATTCTTAAAATACAGTAATTACATACATTACCTATAATATTACAATATATTATTATCTATATTAATCTATAACTGGTACACCTGTAATAATTCGGGCACTGCTAGAAGCATAACCATGGTGGCATGAAGCACAGTCTACCACAATAACATATGCCAAACAATGAGGGAAGATGGTCCACGCTATGACAACAGGTTTTTGTGGCATCCAAACCAGTTATTCCACAGCACCCTTGCATTTGCCTACATTACAGAGCAGCCCCAGGCTCCAGCTCAGCAATGAGTGTTGTATAAACATACACTGAGGTTTATTTGTGCTCTAGTTTCAGTGCTCCAAGATTATACTACTGTGTGTGGGTTTTCAACAAACACAGTTTCACCAGGAACAGTGTTTGTGAGGAAAACACCATATTTATTAACATTAGTGTATTTTAAGCATCTCCATCTTCTCTACTACAACACAAGCCATTTTTGACAAATAATATAAAGTACCATAAACTATATTTACTAGCAGCTCACAGGTATTTTCAGCACTTTGTTACCATTGTACAAATAGGCTTACGCTGTTAGTATGTAACGACATCAACCAAAATGTATTATTATGAAGTTCAGGCAACGTATTGAATATTTGACACATTCTAGTGAAAGATTTTCAGTCTGAATTTGAACATCCAGGCAGAATCTTGCCATTACAGATAGTATTTGCAATTACAGATAGCTATTTTATATATTATAGTTGTAATTTGCTATTACAGATAGCAAATTCGCCAACTCTGGAGTCAAAGACAAAAAATTCTGGAGTCTCAATGTCTAGAAAATGGGCATTGCACAAAAAGTTAAACAAACATATTTAAACATATCTTGTAAGACCTGTAGGACTTAAGCTAAATGTAGTACAGGTAACAGTGAAATACGATTTAACTGAATATAAAGGTGTTCTTCGTTAGACCAAAGGAGTTTAAAATGTAAAGACAGCTAAGAAAAATGCTCTGCCGCAGACTTTCAAGCTTAAGGATAAGAGTTATAGAAACACTGCTAAAATAATATCATAAATGCTTGTTAATTTATTGTTCCTTTACTACAGACATACTAAAAATGCATATAAAATGCATTACTAGAGGATTCTATATTAAAAAGACAAATCAAATATGTACCATTATGCCAAGAAGAACCAGCAACTTCTTTTCTTAACGTCTTAATATGAAAAAATGTTTTGGAATCCAATTTTTAGTTTTTTACAGTGGAAAAAAGAGCAAGTAATATATACCAGCTACAACATTTCAAGTAAGTAGCCTAATTTACTACCTATATAAGGCAGATTTTACATTATACCTGCTTTTTGCTTTTTAATGCCATTTCCTAACTTATTCCATATACATGATACCTATCCTTCCATGGATATTCAAATACACAGAAGTCAGTAATTTCTTTACAATTCAGGGCACTTAAAGTATTTTTATGCACATCACAAGATTTGGTACTATACTGTTGCCTGTCACCTCTCTGTAAATGTAGCACTAACCTTCCCTAGAAAGAGGGCCATATATTGTTGCTCTCTGTGACCTTGGTCTTAAGAAAGTCACATCACATATTGACTCTAATTACAGGAATATATCATACATGCTTCACTTTTAAAAATTAGAAATAGTATTTTGCTTTACAATCATCTTTTTCAAGAATGAATATTTTTGCAGTGGAAAAATAAGTAATTACAATGTCAGTTGTGATTTTTTTCTTTTAGTTAAAGCAGTACTGGAAATGAGATAAAGTACCATGCTGGTGAAAACTTAAGCTTATGTGGAACAAACATACTTAATTGCCATACAGTAATTCACACTTTTAACAACAAAAAACTGAAACATAGTACGTTGCTGCTCTTAAGGCAATTGATCAATCAATCAATCATTTCATTGTTTATGAAATGCACAGAAGGCCATTACTGGCTTGAAAATTCAACTTTTTCCTTACCCTGAGAAAGTATCCCTGGTTAAGCTGCCACTGTGTCTTAGGACAGTTTTGCTTAGGTCAAAAAGCACATCGTGTAAACTCTGTTCCTCAATTTTCTTTGTGGTTAGCTCAAGTATTTGTGTATTTCTCCGGAAGAGTTTGCAAGCATAGCAAGTAGCTGCAGCAGTCTCCATTTTGTCTCCTGTCAGAACCCAAACTTTAATTCCAGCTTTCTGGAGTGCTTCAATAGTGTCAGCAGCTTTTTCCTGTAGTCTGTGGAAGCCAATTGACAACATACATTGACAGATTGCTTGGAAATGAGAAATTCAGAGATCCTTACTGAAAGGCTTCCATAACCAAATTTAAAATAAAAAAAATTAAAAAAAAAAAATCAAAGTTATCAGATCTAAGAATTTTCCCCAAGGTGTGAATCTAAAAATGTCTGGCAGAGTAGTACATTATAACTAACTAGTTTTGACACTTTCAAAGCTCTCAAGGTTTTCATCCATACAGTCTAAAAGATGCTTCTTCAGACTAGTACTTCAATTAGAATACTTTCAGCACTTTCAGCTAATGACATCAAACAATGAGGTATTGCTGAGTTATTAAAGTGACCTCCTAGTTTTAACAGCTTTTGTTTCTTCTTTTTTTTTTAACCTAAAGGTTCTTTCTTCATTTCCTCAATACCTATTTTGTAGTTCCTTCCTCCAAAACTTTCCACTACAATTTGTGTAATAAGGTATTACATGCACTGCATGTAAATGTCTTGAATATACTGATATTTGTACACTTAACTTTTGTTACTAGGTTACTAAATTATAAAGTTACCATGTGTAACTTTCGTAAGCTAAGGGTATGGAATTGACTCAAATAGAGGGTGGTTGGTTTTTTTTTTCAAATAAATCTCTAATTAAAAAAAAAGTTACAAAAACGGTCCTCATACTTTGGTACAATTACTAAACATAAGAAACGAAGAAATGCACTAACCGATCTTCAACAGCTGTAGCACCAAGTAAAATAAAATCTCTTTCTATCTTCTCATACACTTCTGCCAATTTCTTTTCTCGGTCCTGGAGGGCCAACTTCGCATTCTGAAGCAGCTTCTGTACTTTGCTATATTCTTCTGCTGTGAGCTCTTTATATGCAACACATAATGTTCGCAGTCCCTCCTAAAGAATGTAATCAAAAGAAACAAAGTGCGTCTTAGAAAACTCTTTTTAGACTTCTTGATGGTGTTTACGATGGAATAGTTGAAAAAAACTCTATGATTTTACTATTAATATGAAAAGTCCCACTGCTCACTTCATCAGTACAAGAGGTAATGGGTTCAGACTTTTTAGTCTGAACAGGGGAAGTTCAGGTTAGATATAAGGAAGAAGTTCTTTACTGTGAGGGTGGTGAGGCACTGGAACAGGGTGCTCCATCCCTGCTGGTGTTCAAGGTCAAGCTGGACAGTGCCTTGGGCGGCATGGTCTAGGCTAAGACATCCCTGCCCATGGCAGGGGGGTTGGAACTAGATGATCTTAAGGTCCTTTCCAACCCTAACCACTCTATGATTCTATAGTGAAGTGACTATAGTATAAAATAATATACTATAGCTTAGAACATGAGTCAACTTGATTCTGTGCTGCCCTGGACTCAGTTAAAACCTGAGGGACAAAACTCAATTTTCCAGAAGAGAAATAGCAACCCAGCTGGATGTATGAGATTAGTAGGGAAATGAGAGTCAGGGTAAAGGTTTCCCTCCTTACATGTGTAATTAAGCAGGATGAATCAGAATAAATAACAGTAATACAAATAGTAGCTCTGCAGAGTGATTTTGAGGCAGGGGCAAAACACCAGAGTGGTGAAAGTGAAAATTCAACTATGCCATTTCAGCCAAGTGAAAACAGAATTTAGCTGTGGGTGTTTCAGACTGGATCAGACTTTTGGACTGTGTAATGAGTAAAAAAAAAAAAATATATATATAGACCGTGTTAAAAAAAAGCAGCTATAACACAAGTTTTGCCACCTCAAATATATTGCCTCTGACACCATGGCACTTTACCAGCAGGTCTTTGTATAGTTACTTATCACCAATCCAAAAAGAAGCATTAAAATAGCTCCCTGACTGACGCTATTCATAAGGTTAGGTGCCAGGTGGTTGCCTGTATATTCCTTTCCTTCAGAGGCCCCTGTATGTAGGAGCCGGCCCTATTTCCAATTATCCAGGATGAAGAAATGGCTGTTGGTCTGGATTTTTTTTTCCTGATAGACACTGGATGGATATGATCCATAAAATATTCCCTTAGTTTCATTAAGCATCCTTCAGTTGTAATTATCAGACAGCTGTTTTTTATAGTAAAGCTTAGCAAAGCACTTTGACAAAAGAGTTTTGACATTTCCTGTCAAAAAAAGGCAGCTAACACTGTAGGTATTTTTCCACGTACCTGTAATAATACTTTGTTTTCAGTTCAAGTACTAGCTGCCAGAAAATTTTACCCTATTTATAAGACTATCAGTCATATTACATAGAAGTGGGTTCTGCATATTTTTGGACACAGTAAAATTTAGTATTTTTCAACTCCAAATACTATTTTTAGGTAAAACCAAGTCTGCATTTCTTTTAAAGGTGATTAGGCCATTCACAGCTCATTTTTAGCAAGCAAAAATATAAGGGTGATCACTATGTTGCCCCATAAGCAACACGTTTGTTGCTACACCATGCTCTAATAGATTTTCCCTTTTAAGAGCTTGTAAAACAATAAAAGGCAGCAAATTACAATTGCTAAGGCTGGGGACTGAAAGTAGAAATCAAATTTTCGGTGAAGTTTTTCACTTTTCTTTCACTCAAATGTTAATTCAAACCACTAGACCACTAGAGTTGTGAAAATGCCATAGTAAAAAGCTAATTGATGACTTCTGGTATAACACACAGTTGTGCATATCTATGCATTCGTATTGTCTACAACTGCATTTTGGAAGGTGAGAGGGAGGAGAGATTCAAATAAAAGAGTGACACGGACTGCTATCCATACAGCCTGTGTGCACTTTGGCACAGAATAACCTCAGTGCCTGGGAAGACAAATCTGTTACCTGATCAAGCAGGAAATCAGAACACTTAATTTCTTTTTTTATTTTTTCCCCCCACTGATATCATATGAACAGATCAATAAGATGGAATCTTACCACTGCATTGCGTTCAACTCTGGATCGTATTTGGTCAATTTTGCCTTCCTTAACTCTAGGAAATATGGAAGAATCTGCTCCCTTACAAAACAGAAATATATGACCTGAAAGAGACAGCATATGGAATTCAAAATGGCCAAATATATCCTTCTTCAAAAAATCATGCAAATTATTAAGTCTTCAAAAGCATTTCTTGCACATTTTATAGCATTTGTAGTCATGCTGGTACCTAGTCTCCTTCTTTATAAAGACAGACACACAGAGTGTGATTAATGCTTAAATCTTTGATAAACCTCAACAAATCCAAGTGAAACAAAAACATCTAAGACGAAACAGGATGCAACAGTCCTACCTGTTGAAGATCTAACAATTACACTCATTCGCCGTCTCACAGAATCAAAACTCAAAACCTCTAATAATTCAAACCTGGAACAGAAACAGAATTATTTTTTAAACAACTCTGCTTTTCCAGATCCCTAAATTGGTTGTTACAACTTCAGGCATATCAATTAAAGCATGAATTCTAGCATGGAAAATTATATTGAGTACTATGGAATGTGAACTTCCACAGTGTTAAAAAGCAGGTTACAAATAAGAAACAGGGGAGACCCCTAGCTCCTAATTACTTGAAACAGAATTTGTCTGCATCATGTTCATAAGCATCTTTAGATATATAGCCAATATAATTTATTTATAAGACTAGAAACCTTGCAGTAGAGCACTACACTGCTCATAAAGTAAATTCCTACGTATAATACCTAGGGATAGCCACAGAACTTGAAATGCATCAGCATTTACAAAGAAGTCTTTATTTAATATTTTTCTAATTTTGACTATTCCTATTTCCCCAAAGAGCCCACATTATTCCATAAATCTTGCTCAAGTGTTGGCTGACAAGTTATTAAAGTGTAAAAAACATTTCTTTTTACTGGTTTTATATTTGCCATTGTTTTTTACAATTTCATTTTATCCCATATTCTTTTCCCTTCTAGGCAGAAGCTCCTGTTGTACTGTTTCTGTATCATTCATCAGTTAAAATACTTTTATAATTTACTACCTTACCTATTTCCTTTTATCTAAAATTCTTCCTTTTTCAGCACAAACATAAGCATCCCAATCATTAATCCAAATCTCTTCAGGATTCATCTCTGTTAATACTTAGCTCATAAAACAGATTTGCTTGTTTAATTAGGTCATTCAGTTCTAAGTCCTTACAACAGTCTGGGATTCAAACCTGTACGAGGCCACGGTGCTTTGTTCATTAAGAAGTTACAACAGATTCTAAGAAGGAGTTGGATCAGACCTGTATCTACAAACCATGATGCATTTTGGAGAAAATCCCTAGTAATTACAGTACTTTAATAAACCACCAAATGATACTGAATGAAGTTCTTATGAGATGAGCCACAAAAGTCTGAAGTAACTTTCAGGAAAAATCCTCCATATTCCCCTAAAAGGGGGAAAAATGCCAGCAGGGTTCCTATATTTGTGTCCAAGAATCCCTGTGTGGTTAGCAGAGTGCACATGTAGGAAGACTCGGATATATGATAGACTTTACCAGTAAACTTCTACGGAAGTGGAAAGTAACATTTTTGGAAGTACATGCACCCCACTGAACAGCTCTACTACTAAAATGTCACTGAAAATTTTACTCATATTATGGACAACAAAATCTATTCTGTCAAAGGAAAATAACAAGAACAGTACCTGTTTTAATTTTTCTTTGAACCAGCTATAAAAATTTATTCTATAGATATTACCCCCCCATAAATACAGATTATTTGCAAACGACAAACTCCGTACATACCATTTTCTATTAAAAAATTATTACCATATAACAAAGGAAAAAATAACCTAACCATAGTTTCTAAAACTATCAGTAACTATTAGATTATCCTCATCTATTTTCTTGTATTTTTAACCACTCACTTCTCTATGTTATTTTCCCGATTTACGATCTCCATAAAATTGTCCTTCAGCCTTAGATAGGTGTAACCAAGCCTGTGAAATGGAACACACATCAAGAGAATGAATACAACAAATACATAATTATCCAGTTTAAGCATATCATAAGGATTTAAGACTGAGCTTCTCTTGAGGGTAGGAAGGGGGAATTGGTGACCAAAACATACCCCACCAAACCACAAAACCCAACTCACAAACTGTTTTATTTGATTTATGAATATGAGCAGTCATGACTGTATGTTGAGAAAATCATCAGCTGTGCCAATTTGGTGTTTCTTATTACAATTTTTGTGCTTAAAACAATTTTGAACTTCAGTGATTAGATCCACAAATAAAAAAATTATAATATCTAATTATACACGTACCTCTGTATTCCCTCAACTAGAGCAACTTCATCTGGTGATGATGATATATATATGCAAGATCTTCTTGAGAGCTGGCTTTTCTTCAATCCATCTACACTGTCATCATCTTTCACCTGGACAGTGTGGCAAAGACAAAGAGCTCGGAAAAATAGCTCCTCTCTCTCCTAAAACATAAAAGAAATAGTTGCCATTACGTGTTACCACTTTCATGCACTGCTTTGATAACCTTCTGAAGGAAAAGTTTTCCATGTCACTAATTACTACTGTTTCTGTCAGATAAAGGCAATGTCACAGGTCACCTGCCCTTTAGGGGGAGCCAAGTCTTTCCCAGGGGTACGCACAACCGCTCATCAGCTGCTATTGCTACTAGCATTGCCATGCAAGCCAAGCTCCTGATGCCCAAAAGAGGGTACGTCTCTTGCTTCCTGGGTCCTAGATGTGGCTAAAGGTTTTTTAACTTTACTTTTACTTAAACTTTGAATAAACTGTATCATATACTAGTTGAGGTACAATTTTAAGAGTCCTGAGTCCAGACAGAGGGATGCAGCACCTGAAGCACAAGTCTTAACAGGGTTTACAGATTTCAGTTCCTTAGGCAGCTTGAGTATCTTTAAGAGCTATATAAAATATAGGAGGTGGGCATTTTGGCAGCTGGAGAAAACAACTTCTATGAAATTTCAGATGGTTCGGTAATGACAGCTTCTGACAACAGAAAAATATTTCTGTTTCATGGATACCTTACTGTATTCTACCTGTCACTTTGTGTCTGAATCTTATTCTTCTGCGCTGCTCAGTACAAATTGACTGTGCCACTAGAATTCCAAGACAAAAACACCTTGGGACCGCATTCTGAGGCCTGTGGGTGACAGCTATAAGGCTGCTGAATTATATCAACATATTTTAAGAGGCCTTGTTTTGGCATAGTGAAGGGTATGGCCAAACTATGATTTGACACTGTACTGATATATTTAAAAATATATCCAATGTCCTTTGGCTATGATTATCCTGCCCATTTACAACCTGCTCATTAGCTGACATATGAAAGCTCCTTAACTTTCACCTAACTTTGCTTTACACAGCAAAAAAGCAGCATGCTTTTTTATACATGCTGTGTATAACACATTTCAAATGTGGCTATATTAAGTCACATTTAAAAGTAATTTCATTTAATCATAAACCATTCTCTGGCCGCATATTCACTCAGTGATGACTGTTTGCCTTGAACACTCATTTTCACCCTTGAGGAGCTTTCCTGCCTTGCTTTCCCTATTACCACTAATGTTAAATGGAAACCAGCTATTACATTTCTTTAGCTACTAACCAAAGAAAGTTCTGTATTTGGGGGTTTTATTTAATTCAATTTTACATCTGCAGTAAGTCGGGAAACTTCCCATTAAGTCTTCAAATCTTAGTTTAAACTAGGAAACGAAAATGTATGTGCTGTGATGAATTTCCTGCAATTATACACTATGATTAGTGAAACTCTAGAATGCTTTATTTCCAATATTCCCTTCACATCAGCACAGTTCAATTTTCATGTTTCATTATAAAAACCAGGAACAAGTCATAATACCTTTCCACTTCCTCCTGGAGAAGAATCAATCATATCAATGCCTGTACAATCATGGAGAATTTGGCCATTGCAGATAACATGTGGCACATAAACGTGCCCTTCAATGCAACATTCTACAAATTCCATGTTGTTCTCAGTTAACGTTCCTGTTTTATCTGTGAAGACATACTCAATCTGCAAATAAGCACAAATTAAAAACAGCAGGAATATGAGCAGAGATTTTCCAAGTTCTCTTAACAAAACTGAGATTATTACTGGGTTACATCTTCCTTTAAGGATCCTTGTGCATGCTCTTTCAGAAGAAGAAGACAATTTCTTTTGGGAGTCATCTTCCACAGAAATTGGGCCTGGAAAGATTTTATCACACAAGACTCTCAGCAAAGCTATCTTTTGCTTCATAACACATACAAATAATGTGTTTAATCTATTTTCTCTCTTCTCCCAGTCTCTTTTTTGTTTTTTAATTGCTTTCATGCTGCAAGACAGATATTTATGGAAACAAAACGCACATGAATTCAATTTCCCAAGGATCATTATTTAATGTACACGCCTGGATTTAGATCGGTTTCTGTCAGAATGGTCCTTAGGGTGGTATCAGAATTCCCCACTACAATTACATTAGTTTAAGTGATGATTCTGGATTAATGGTCATATACAGTTATACACCTGGGCACCGCTACTGCCCTGGAAACACTCCTTTTGTATCAATGTTGAATTTTTCAATATTTCAAGCTGAAAAAAAAAAAAACCTAACAATTTTAAAATAAAAACTTATGGTAGAAAAGGCTGAAAAAAAATTATCATTTGTTAAAATTTACCTGTCCCAGCTCTTCATTGAGGTCAGAAGTATTCACCAGTGGTCCTTCACCTGTGTCCTCATCAAACATTTCCTCATCCCATGTAAGGAAGTAAGAACCAAGAAATTTCTGCATTTCCACAGTGACATACATGGATACAGGAATAATGTAGTTGAAAAGAACCATGAATGCAAGGAAATCTGTAAAAGCTCGAAGAAACTGCCAAAGAAACAAGATGAAAATATTGATTTTTCAGGTACCATCAAAAACCAAAAGATGACTACATACATTTGCAGATTATTTTTTTTCTAGTAACTTTCAAACAGTAAGCAACACCTTTCACAGCTCACAGCTCAACACAAGTGTGTGCCTTCGTGGTATATAACATCACAACAGATTTGGCATAAAGAAAAAAATCCTAAAAATTTGTATTTTTCTTTACAGGTCTATAGTCACACATCATGGCTGTAAATTCTAGAGCAACTCATGAGAGTGATGAACACCTGTAGGAGAACAAGGAAAATGGTAACATGTACATTCACAAATTACCAGAAAAGCAACATAAACCTGCAGCAACTCATTCAAGGATTACCAATTACGTAACTTTCAGGCAGCATTTCATTAATGAATAAAGGGTTTCCCTTCCTTCTCTCAACACAAGTAAAATGTGTGCATATAACCTAGCTCAATTTTTTCAGTGGTGGAGACTTGTGGAAGCATAGTCAACCGGCTAAGCAGGCCGAGATGGTGCTACTGGTGGTAATGAGAAATCTAGAACATGTCTGGCTAGTGTGTGCCCATCATGCATTTAGGGTAACCAAGAAAATTTTCCCCTAGTCTCACTGGAAGTATTTAGTATCATAATATTGTGTTTTCTGTAGTGCTGAGCTCAGTCTGTTACTTTGGATCATGTGGGTATCCATTCTGGACGTCCTTTCTCTGGTAGGGTCATCATACACTGGCAACACTCCTGTGGGTCTCTAATGCTCATGACAGAGTTACAGAGCTATATCAAACTAAGTTTTTAAGGGGTATTGTTACACAGATTCCCACAGTGGATTCTTTTGAACACATCTGTTATATGATTACCAACAGCTGTCAGATATCTTTCAGTCCTATATTCCTCTGCAAGAGGACAGTTCTTATATTAAACATGACATTTTCTCATCAGTTAAATTCATACGTATAACTTGAGTGCAAAAATTTAATATATAAGCTTTCTGCAAACATACTGTCACCACTATTAGCAAACAAAACATTTTATGATCAGTAAGCAAGCAGGCTGTGTACGCTTTTCAGTAGGATTCTTGCACATTACAGGTTTAGTAAAACTTTTTGGTGTTGAAATTTATTTCCATACCAAATTTCTTTTCCTTTCTGGCTCTGTTTTCTGATTATACCATGGTTCATCACGAAATGGCTCACTCTGCCAGACATACTTCAGGACAGTATTTATTAGTGCTTTACTGATGAGAATACAGAGGTATACAATAAGGAATACATTCATTGATCTAAAAAAAAAAAAATAAATAAAGGCAAAGTGAGAACTCCATTAGCACATAAACCACAGTTTATTGAAAAATGCTACATTTGTGCTTCAGCTTAACACTTGCTCCAATTCTAACACTATGATGTTATATAACTTTTCTACAGCATTTTCCCAACACAGAAAAATATTATTGAGGATGATTTTCTATTTAAAATGTAAACTGCTGTAATTGTTTTCCAAACTGTGTGGGACACCTTAGCAAACCTAGTACATTAGTAAAAACAATAGCATAGATGGAATCATAACAGAATAACCAGACATGTATCTGCAGGCCTTTTTATGCCATTTCTCTGAACTGACAAGAAAACACTCACATAAGTATTTTCATGGAATATAAATCTATTGAGAACATTGTGCTATGTAGCTGTAATGATTTAACACTTTCTAGACAGATCTAAAAAAAGAGCAAGAACATTTCACATTTAAAATTATATTTTCATTGATGAATGGGTATGAACTAGAAGCCACTGGTTATACATCAATAAGAACTGAAAAAGACACATCACCAACGCTCAGTCACTATGTAAGAGAAGGGCTGTCAGCCAGTCAGTACATCTTGCCTTAACACCTTTTTTTTCCACAAGGCTTGGACACCTTACTCAGAGCTGATGATTTCAGATAGCAGAGCAGGACTAAAGAATACTTATCTCTCTTTAAAAAAGTAAGCAACCAATGTCAGCTCTTTCCTTGAGAATAGCAGTGTCTTCCTTTCCCATTATATATGCCCTGCAAGGAACTTCTAATTTTAGCTAAACCATGGGAAACCTGCCACAGACAGGCTTTGTGTTACCGCAGTTGATCCAAAGTAAACTGCATCCAAAAAATTGGTTTTACTGAAAACAAACCATTAAGTCCCTCTACCTCTAATGAAACATATACATTTAGTAAAATAAAAAAAACCCTCCCCTTTTATTCACCATCCGAACATGCAGTTTTCCACCCCCAAAATAAATATGAGAAATTTTACTTTTCTACAGCAGATCGTTTCTGTGATTTTGCCTGATAATTTAATGCCATCTTAGTTTCCATGCCAGTGTAGATAGCAACACCTGAAATTAGACAACTTGTTTTACTAATGATTACACAGCACAACAACTTCATAAAAGCACAATTCACTTTATTATTATACTCCATCATTTCTTTAATTCTCTATAGTCTGAAGAAAAAGAACAAAGATTTAGATGATACTCAGAAACTAGAAATAGCTTTAATAAAGAATAACTTTAGGAAACTTTAAGCAGCATTTACATCCCATTCCAGAGTCACAGTTCCCAATTGCTAACATGTTGCTATGTATCAAAGCCAATCCAAATTGCGGTTTTGAATAAATCGCCCTGCGTTTTTAAGTTCTCTTTTGTGGCTATAATTTTAGAAGCTAAGTCATACATCGTGAAAGAAAATCCAGATAGGGCTAAACTACAGGACACATCTAAGAAGAATAAAAGGCAACCATCAATTTTGCTTGCTTCAGTAAAATTTTAGAATTAATGAAAAGTGATCGTTTGACATTACAAATTTCCTGTTGAGAACACAGATCAAAAGACTAAACCTCAGAAGATTGAACACAGCAACTAAAAGAAGCTGTAAACAAGATGATGGACTTAAAGTACTTAAGCAAGCACATCTGTACATAGCTAAATAAAATAATTCAGGATATGAATTGTGCTGGGGTAATGGTAAATGCTGCATATGTAAGGCAGACCAGAAACAACTGCTTATTAGGAACATTTCTGCCCGATACTCAAGATAACAGAATATTAATATTAAATATTAAATAAATATTAAATATTAAAGCCATCTCCTGAAATTTACAAAAATACTTTCTACAAACTGATTATATTAGTCCATCTATTTTAGACTACAACTAAAAGCAAAATGAGGAAGTTGAAACTAATACATACTTTTTGCACTCTGTTTTGAGAAAAAGTTGCAAGATTTTGGTAGTTTAGGCTAAGTTCATGGCTATCACTGATCTTTCGTGGGAGTACAGAAGTTGTAAAAGATAAAGGATAATTTGGATCCTTTTTCCTTTAGTCACTGATAAAGACTGGCCTGTTATAACAGAACTACTACTCCCACTAGGCTTTCTTGAAGAATTTTAAAAAATAAAAGTAAAAAATCTCAGTTTGTGCTTCCAATTTCTGCTAAAATATGCAACATTTTTTATAGAATGTGGACAATTTGTACACATAAAATATACTTGCTAACAGAAAGTCTAATTTTGATCAGGAACTGTTTAAGTGGATTGATGGTTTTTTGATCAACCATATTTACATCTGGTTGGGGTGTCTGTTTCAACAAATGAGCAAAACAGATTATAAAGATTTTTCAACAGGCTCATTAACTGCTTTGGGACAACATCATTATTTTCCAGTGCCTGTTCAAAAGCCATATATTTACATGAAATTGAATTGTCTTCTTGAGTCACCTTAAGTAATCGTTAAAGACAAACAATAAAATCCTCCTTCCAAAAACTTTTTATAGTCATTATACATCATTAATAGTTACTTCACTGCAATTACAATAGTAAACCTTATTAAAAAGTTGCAAATCAAGTGACTCATTAGAAATCATATGGTCAGTAGTAACTGTAGGGTTGTAGCCTTGTTTAATGTTTGCTTGCTACTTCACAGACCATTTAAATAATCAATAGAAAGATTTACCAAAGATTTTTTCTGTATTCTTTAAAGTGGCTCCTCTAAGAAGCAGATTTTCAGATCCTAATGGCCTGCAAAGATAAATGTTACAAAATATAAACGTTTAGAGAGAAACAGCAGACCTTAGTAGAAGCCACATAAAAGAGGAAATTAGTTTTAGTCAAACATTTTTACTTTGTGTAACAAAATTACTAGGCATATTTAAAGCTTTCAGTTAAAATTAAATATATGTAGATGCCTAAAATTAAACTCGTAATTTCACAATTCAAGTCTTAAACCAATGCATCCAAGAACCACATATGCAGGTACCTAAATAAAGATTCATGATCCTAATAGCAAGGTGCGTATCTTTAAAAATAGCAATTCAAGTCTTTTTTAGGCTTATATAAATGATAGTATCCCACATGCTAGAATTACTTATTAAGGAAAATACATTCTTCCATTTTAAGTATAAATGGCATATAAGGTATTGTTTGATATTTACTGTATACATTTCAAAGCATAAAGTTGAATATAGGTAAAATAGTTTACTGAGGAATAAGGAAATTAATATAAGGATCCCTATGCAATTTAAAATAATATAAATCACCATATTAGTGCAAAACCAAGGACTACTTTATAGACAGAAAGCATGTAGAATTATCAGACCATATACACAGTAATGAAAAAAAAAGTTCAGTTTTTTTTAATGTGCTCCAAGTGTTTTTTTAACGTGTTCACGTTTTTCAAAGTGTTCCAAAATCTAATCTAATCCTCTAAAGACAAAAAAAACAAACATCCCTGGCCATACAACCTGAAACTAGTTTCGTCTAAACCAGTGGTGTGATGTTATATGAATGACTTGGATTATAAGACATTATATCCCAATATAGTAAAAAACACCCATTGCTCTAATAGTGCTGTCCAAGGAATATAAGTCTTAATGCCACAGACTTTCTTCTTGTGTTATACACAGATCAATTCCTGTTTAGATCAAAAAGGTTATTTTTTTTGCTTATTTTACTGTCCTCTCCCACCCAACTTCATTTCCAGCCAACTGTTATTAGTCAATCTCTAAAGAGAAAGAAGTTAAAAACAAACAAACAAACAAAAAAAACAGTTTTCGTAGCAGACTGTGATAGAAATCAGACATGTAGACACACTTGTACACCACCCATATGCTGGAGTCTAGGATATCACCCCAGCAAGAAGCTTTCCCTCCTATTGCTTTGCCTCTTTGTACCAAGGACCTGAACAAAATGAGGTACGGGAAGTTTCTTCCTTGGTGGTAGACAGAAGATCCTAGGCAGAAAAGAGAGGAAGACTCGTGCCTCTTTCGACTGCTTCATTTTTTTTTCTTTATGTTGCTGGACAAGGAATGTCCTGAGACTGCTCCTTGAGCACAAAGCACTGCACTCCCTTCAGGATAAAGCCTATTTGCACAGGAGGCAGACCCTTCTAAGTGCCAGACCCAGGCTAACAGATCACATCCTTCACAACATACAAAATTAATTACCTTGGATGTTGCCTTCCTGAACACACAACACTAGACATTTTAGAAAAATGTGCAAAAATCACCACTAAAACTAAACATTATACTGGGCATGTTCATATTCTTAAATTTCTAAGAAGAAAAAAACAGAGAAATATACAAGTGATACTATTCATATTGTTTAGTGCACTATCAGGATCTCCTGCTAATGGAGCAGTATTGTACAAGCACGGTCAAAATCCTATCAACGTAATTTATAAACTAAATACACGTCAAATAAAATTGAAGTTGAATAAAGACAAAAATATAAATGAGATAAATCTATCTGATTAAAATATGAAATACTTATATATGAAATAAGTCTGGAAACTTGTATGAGAAATACATATTATTAATAAGACAAGGCAGCATGCTGTTGGTGAACCAAAGGTAATGTTCACCATTGATACCTATTTGAACCTTGTCATGTTTTAACCTCAGCCAGCAACTAAGCCCTACACTGCCACTCAGTTACACCCCCTTACCCTCAATGGGATGGGAGAAAATTAGAAGAGTAAAACCAAGAAAACTCCTGGGTTGAGATGGAGACAGTTTAATAGGCACCACTTCGCATCAGCAGGCAGGGGTTCAGCCATCTCCAGGACAGCAGGGCTCCATCACATGTAACAGTGACTTAGGTGGACAAATGCCATTACTATGAACATTCTCCCCTCCTTCCTTCTTCCCCCAGCTGTATATGCTGAGCATGATGCCACATGGTTTGCGATATCCCTCTGGTCAGCTGGGGTCAGCTGTCCTGGTTGTCCCCCCTTCTAATCTCTTGTGCACCCCACTCTACTTGCTGATGGGGCAAGAGGCAGAAAAGGCCTTGACTCTGAATTATCAACAGTTTCTGGCACAAATCCAAAACATAGTCCCAGTACCAGCTACTATGAAGAAAATTAACTCTACCCTGGCCAAAATCAGCACAACCCTGGAAATGTTCAAGTGTGTAAAAACTCTGGATTTTCCCTACCTTGCAGTAGGCTCATTCCTATCATGGTAAACATTTATTCGACCAACAAATCTGCAAGGGAAGTATATATGTAGCTTAACAACATTGCTAATTTGTGTATTATTATGCATATATGTCCAAATATTTCAGTTTAATGTACATTACATTACAGATATATATACACCACACATACATGTTTGAAAACAAAGAAAATTACTGTCACTTCAAAAAACATATGTAAGAATAGATTGAGAAATATTTTCTACAAAGTATTTATTACAGTGAGCACCCTCCAGTTGAACAAGCTCTGATCACCAAGAACATAAACAAGAACACGGAGATACACATAAACAGAAAAATACACAGAACAGTAAGTCAGTGTAAAATGTCCATATAAAAAGATATAAGAGATTCTAAAATTAGAAGTAAATATTCTAAGTAGACCCATTAGCAAGAAATAACAAGAAATCTTATTCCCTAAATTACCCAAGGTAACCCAGTGTAATTACTATTCTTTACAAAACCTAAACCCTACAATTGAGTTTAAAACAAAAGTGTAAGGCAAATAAGCAATTTTCCCTCTGAATATCTCTCTAAGTACATTTTATCTGTATGTAGTGGGTTGCTGCTGGATAGCAACTAAGCATGCACTAGCCTCTTGCTAATTCCCTTCCCAGAAGGATAGGAGAGAGAACTGGAAGAGCAAAAGCAAAATAATGACAGATTAGTAAGTGAAGGAAAAAAAAACGAGTGACACAAAGGCAAGCATTCACCACCTCCCATAAGCAGACCAATGCCCAGCCAGTCTTCAAGCAACAGCTACTTTTGAAAGACTATTAGTTTTATTGCTGAGCATGACATTTTATGGCACAGAACAACCCTCTGGTCAGCTGAGGTCAATTTCCTGGCTGTGTCCGCTCCCAGCCTACCTGGCCAACCCCAGCCTACTTGCTGGAGGGGCAAAGTGAGAACCAGAGAAACCCTTGACACTGCGCAAGCATTTTTCAGCAACAGCAAAAACACGGGTGTGTTATTAACACTGGTTTTGTTACAAATCAAAACTACTACACCAAATGGGCTGCTATGAAGAATAGTTACTACATTTCAGTCAGATCCAGTATGCTGTATTTGCAATATCACAGTCTAAGTGGATAACCTCAAATCAAACCAGATTAAGACAGACATCAGCATTCTGGATGGTAGAGGAAACTGGGGAACTGGTGGGTCTGTTACCCTGAAAGGGAAACCTCCCAGGCTCAGAGAACTGGCAACCTGTCTGCTGAGAAAATATACAACACAGCAGAGCCACATCTAATGACACTGTAGAGTTTGTTATGATGCATCTTGATGTAAAAAGACCATGTGCCTTTGGAAAGAAAGATTCGTCACTGTGGTTTGTTGACCAGTAAAGTGCCAAGCAAAAAGTAGCAGAGATAGAAGCTGTCTACCAATACATATTCTCATTATTCATGTGTGCTGAAAGCAAAAGAACAAGCCATGGTGCCACAAGCAACCTCTCCATGTTGCAGAATATCCTCTCATCCCCTGAAGACTTGTCACAAACTGTATGTGACATGGGACTGACATACAGGCTATTTCTTGACAGCCAGTGTTAAGAAATGTATTAAATATTAGTAAAGCTTAATTTCTTTCTTATTTTTTAGATTAAAAAAAAACCACAAGTTCTAAATTTTTTGCCACACAAATGGCCTGCTTTGTGCACCCCTCTTTGGAGACCACTGCCCTAGAGCAGACCAGTGAACTACCTGCAGGAAAGGAACAAGGATGAAAAACTAAGCTGATGTCAAGCTCACTCTGGAGCCCACTCTATCCAGCCAGATGCAGCCAGTATATTTTCATTATGATATTCTTATACTTTATTGTTAGGGAACACCAAATAAAATGGCAAGAATTATTTTCTTACTTATAAAGGTCAGGCTGAGGTTGTTCACATTCAATGGTAGCATGTAGTGCATCCATTTCTTGTTCATTGTGAAATGCCTTTGTATCTTGAACAGCATAGTGAGTCTGGAACAAATATCAAGGTGTAAATAAAATAAAAAAGGACAGATATAGAATACATTAATCTGCACATATATTTCGGTTCAGCATGAAGCAGATTTATTAACTTCCACATAAGAGCTCATAGTTCAAGTAAGATGCATCTTCAAATGCTCCTAAGTGGGCATCGTCTTATATTACATGCAAGTAGCTTGCAGTGTGGTAACTAATCAGGTCACCATGAAAGCATTTAAGTACAAAAAAGTTTGTGCATTACCTCTGTAATCTGCATGTCTATACTGGGCACAAAGTCACAAATACATACATTTTTAAACTTTCCATAAAATGTTACTTTACGAAAAAGTAAGTCAATTGGTAGAAACCTAAGTTACACAAGTTAATCTGCTCACACATGTAAGCATGCAGTCAAATGTGAAAAATTAAAAGCAAGCTTTGCCTCAGAAAGAAAATTTAGAACATTTAATTACTTTATGGCTGGATTCACCATCCAAACTAGCTGTTGTAACAAAGCATGTTCCATCTTCTCTACTACTTGACAGAAATATTAAGTCACATGGGAATGTTTCATCTTCTTTTACCATTACAATATCTCCAACCTAAAGAAAAGATACAACAAAAAATGCATTTATCATTTATGTAGCAGCCTGATTTTCAGATTTCAAAACATCAGTTCACTAAAATATTTAGAAAATTCATCTACTTTTATTTACACCACGATTTTATCACAGCAGTAATATTCACTACAGGAATATCTCAAAAACTGAATCACACCTTGTGGAATGGCTGAGGTCTGCTGTGTACTATATTTCCTTTAAGGATAACCATTTTGCAAGTACTGCCTTCTTAAGTTTTGCAACTTTATTTGAAAGAGGAAGATACTATCCTTGTTTTAAGACTAAATACAACAAAATATTATTTCAAAAACAGCTGAAGATTTGAGCTACTTTTGTTGGCTGTTGAGGATAAGCATGTAGCTCTGAAAATAATTATATAGTTGCAAAAGTTATGATTTCCAAGTCTGGCAATGAAAATAGGATATATTTTCAGCAGAATTTATGACTAGAAGTCCATCCTATTTTCATCCGTATTTAAAGGTGAGCAAATTAGTTTGTAGTCATGAAAACACAGTTAAATCTTACAGCGTGTTTGAGTGTCACAGAACAGGAAACCAACTATAAATTTAAAATATTGCTCTAAATCATTCATTTGAGAAAAAAAGGCATTGATGCATTTTGGCGGGGTCATCTTCCCAAATGATTATAAGGAAAAAAAAATTAACAGATTGCATCTCTACCCTTGGAGATAATCAAAAGCTATCTGGTCCTGGGCAACCAGCTCTTGGTGGGCTTGCTTGAGCAGAGGGGGTTGGACCAGATGACCTCCACACATGCCTGACAACCTCAACTGGTCTGTGATGCAGTGAAAAAGAAACCTTGTCTTTAATCAAATGTCCACAGGCTTTAGGTACATAACAGTCTACCTTTACATGTTCTAGTCCATTTTCTTGCTTAATACATGTCCAAGAATTTATCCAGATATTCATCCAGATATTTACAGATATCCCTTTCTATGCAAATATTTCTTATGCCTGTCTCCTACTATCTAGTTGCTCAAAATACAGTCTCTGAAATGCAAAGAATGGGAGAAATTGAGAAAATATGGGCAATAGATTACTTAATGGAATACAAATTTCAGTCATGTGGTACTTTCTTTGCAGTATTTAACTGTTTAGTTATGTATAAGGAATACTCAGCATGTGATGTTTCAATTTTTTTTTATTACCAGAAAGCCCTAGGCAGAAGCTATCACACTCAAAGGGAAGATCACAGAGAAAGGCATCAGCAGAAAGGCTGTAAACACTGTAGAGCCATTTACGTTCAAACAAGGCAAAACAGAAAAAAGATATCCCTAATGAAGATATCAGAAATAAGGAAAAATCCAAACAAATAGCTATCAAATTTGCTGAATTCTAAAGAGAATGACGATGAAAAGAATCAAAGAATCTGCTCATTTAAAAAAAAAAAAAAAAAAAAGCAGAGATTAATTCTGAAAATAACCTTTAAAATGCCAGGAAGGGAATGCAGCAACATTCAACAGCCAATGAAGAGGCTGTGATTTGAAGAGTAATGAAGAAAGTATTCTGAATGTGTTGCATATATATGTATTCATATGTATGTTGTATACATAGGACACATCAGTAGCGCTATGATAATCTGTCTTAAATACATCATTAATGTGCATAACCATAGACTGAAAATGGAGAGAAGACAAAGCATGAGTGGAAAAATTAGAGTTAAAAAATGAAAAATGAATGGAACAGTTAGGAGTTAACAAGATAAAACAGAAACATATCTAGCTTATAAAATTTACTGAGTGGCATTAAATTAAAAATTAGTATGTTGCAAGTCTAATCTCAATGAAATGTAAGAAGTGCTGCAACATCATCATGCTGCATTTCTGTATAATTTGTTCCACAAGAAGCGTGAAGTAAAGCCTTACTCTGTTAAGTCATAATTACTTACTCTTAATTTTCGGCTTTGCTTTCTAACCAGTTTACCGTGTTGAATGAAATGAACAGGGTATTGGTTCATTGCATTGTCAGCTTTATGTCGAAGCCAATCTTCATAACCCTAGAAAATAGTGAAATGGAATGACACAATGATGCACATTTGGCTATAAAGACACAAATAAGCTTTATCTTGCAACAAAACCAACCAACCAATCAAATCGAGATTATCCTTTATCAAGAAATGGGGAGGGAGAGGTGGGAAGAGGGGAAAAGAATATATTCTCACTAGAACAAATGAAATTTTGATACGTCAGTCATGTTGGACATTTACAAACAAGAACATTCATGGTTAAAATTAGTCAACAAAATTATATATTTTAATGAAGACATTCTGATGAATAGGGGTGTTTACAAAGTGTAGAACTTTCTGGTGGTTAAGTGATTATCTCTTTTTCATGCTCTATTGACTCCTGAGTAAGTGCAAAGTACTTCTAGAAGGGGTTGCCAAGAAGATAGAGGCATAGAAGTATATTTTGGAAGACTGAGACTTCATACTGAAAGATGATGAAGTAACAACATAACTGAAGGTAGTCATTATTTTCTGATTGTTATACACTTGTTAACACTTTTTAACCTTATATACAATATATATCAACCTGAAGAATTTTGTTTTAAGAGACTGCAGAATAACTTATTTTGATCGCCCAAAAGCTACATGCAGAAACAAAGTAAAGGACAGGGAATCTGCAACTTTCCATTCAAAATGTGTTGCTGTGGGATAAAAATTGGGACTGAAAGACACCATTGGCTCCATATGCATTTTTACATCTAATTCTCTTGAGTACATACAATCATAGAATAGTTAGGGTTAGAAAGGATCTTAAGATCATCTAGTTCCAAACCCCCTGCCATGGGCAGGGACACCTCACACTAAACCATTGAAAATGCAATGCAAAACAAAAGCACCACTGCCTTGGATGTTCTGAGATAATCTGGGAACCCACAGAGTCTTTCTAACTTCAGTGTAATATACCTCCAGGAGCTGGCACAGCTTATCAATCAGGTCCCACTTGTTGGGAGAAAGACTCAAGGAGATAGATAGAACTGCAGTTTGAGGCACCACATGTCATAATCCAGGCTGTGGTAGGCCACTACCAACCTACAGTAAAATTCTAAAGTGCAACATTTAATATCTTCAGAGCGGGAAAGCCACACCTAAAATACTAGCTATTGCATGCATCACAGCTTTTGCTCACCAGAAAGAGCTGAATTCTACAATAGAATATACTCAATTGTATATAGTTAGCACTGTAAATAAATTACGATACTGCTCTCTGTAGTTTCTTTGAAAATGAATGAAGGAAAATTCTGCATTTAGCATAAAGACTGTAAAGGTAGTCAGTTACCCTATTCAGGGACAATCAAAATTACCCTCTGTTCTGGGCCTGGCTGGGATGGAGTTCACTTTCTTCACAGCTGCTTATATGCTGCCATGCTTTGTAACGGGCTAAACCAGTGTTGGTTAGGCCCCAGTATTTTGGCTACAGCTGAACAGTACTTGCACAGCATCAAGCCTTTCTGCCCAACCTCCCCATACATTGAAAAAGAGGTCAGTTGGCTGGGGGTAGTGGGCAAGGGGCGGGGAGGGGACATTGCCTGGACAGCAGACCCAAACTGACCAATGGGATATTCAATACTATATGTAATTGTGCTCAGCAAGAAAATCTCAGGGAAAGCAGGCACAAAGGGATCATTTGTGGTGATGGCACTTGTTCTCCTAAGCAAGCATGACTTGTGCTGAGGCCCAGCTTTCCAGAAAGTGACTGGACATCTGCCTACCAATGGGAAGTAGTGAATGAATTCCTTATTTTGCTTGGCATAGCTGTTACTTCCCTATAACGTGTCACTAATATGATACACAAGTATCTTCACTTTCTCTCTGTTTTCCACAGAAGAGGGGAGTGAGAAAAGGGGTGCGTGGGTGTTTGGCTGCTGGCCAGGGTCAACACACCACATCCTCATTTTTGTTAGCCATTGTTTTAATCATCAAATCCGTCATAGGTACGTAAGAAATACAGTCTTATCTCTACAAGTTTTGAGGTAAAATAAGGAGCACTTTGACCTAGAAGCAGTCTTGAATTAAACTATTTAATGGATTTTATTTTTTTCCCCCTCAAAAGATAACATTTTTTGGAAACACAAAGTAAAAGAACTTCCTTATGCCCGTGGAAAGTACTAACTCCTCCAAGCAGCCTAGCAAAAGATGCTGCTTGTGCAGATTCTCCTTCCACATTCACATTCCATTCACTGAAATGAAGGAAGGAAATGGCTGGTATCTGGACGCAGAGACACAGAGAAGACCAAACCATGAAAGGGAACTCGCTGTGCCACTGAGTGCCTACATTAACAGCTATCCTACAGAAGCAAATATCATTAAACTAAACTGAAGGCAAAAAGCCAAACACATAACAGAACCACTGTAAAGAACATGACTTGTGACTATTACTATAGGAGCCCAAATTATTAGAAACTATTCTGTGGCTATGGTGAGATGGTAGAGTAAATGCAGAAGGGTACTGTAGGCACCAGATACAAAGTACTGCTTATAAATTCACTTGCTAGCTCAAATTTAGTAAAATTTTCAACAAATTAACTCTGCACTAGCAAGGTTTTTTGCAAGATCAGGTATCCTCTTGTCCTCCTTTAGCTGGCTTGAAACTCACAAAGTCAATAAATTCATCTCTGGCTAAATCAATAGAAAGGCAATTATGAGCTCATTCCTGAATAATTCCTGATCTACATGCAATTTGAAATAACAGAGGCTCTGATAACACACAGATCTGATTTTAATATCTCCACATGAATTAAAACATTCCATATATATCTGAGATTCCACTACTTTCAATAAGACTCTATCTACATTTATGTGCTCATGCCAAAGGTAGCACTGCAGCAGTAGGATAGCTGGTGAAAAACTACTTTAATCACTATCCTCTTGGTAGTACTAACTTGAAAGTCAAACAGCAAACCTGTATAATTCCATACCTGTATTATGCAATTCTATTTTAACAGAACAACTTCTAGGAAGTTCTTTTATACTCAAAGATGTAGCAACAACTAATATCTAAAAAAATTACTTGTGTGGGTTTTCATCTATTTTATGGGTTAATTTTAACATTAAAAATGAGATAATACAGTAACATTTGTTCAATCCTAACCTGCAGAAAGCACTGCAGCTATCATTATGAACTGTAGATTACTATCAAATATACCCTGAAGACCAAAATAATTTTTATTATCCGTTCATACTGTAAAGGCTAAGGAAACCTGAAGGTTAGCAGCAGATTTCTTACGAGTTTTTGTAGCTTTTACTAAGCTCATTTTCAGTCACGGAAAAATATAACAGGATGTGGACAGCAATTTAGAAACAAATAAATGAAAGCTGAGTTGTGCTGAGTGAACACAAGAAGGGAAATGATTCCTTGGAACACAAGAACATCAAAATTATTAAATAATTTATGAGTTTGCATTAAAGGAGTGAAACATCATCATATAGCAACCAATTCTACTTAAACTAAGGAAACAAAAATATATCAAAATTTACCACAATCATTCTTTCAGCATTGCCCTAACTTAGTCTAACACAAAAAGGCAGGGAAAACTGAAATACACAAACCAAATAATAATGTTCTCTTTAGTTTTACTTTTGCTCACTATATTACTCACCTGTTTTATAGCTGTTACAGTGATGACAAATAAAAGTGGAAGTCCACTTGTAACTGGACTAGTAGGTGTATCAATGATTAACTGCAACAAAAGGAATAAATATTTTCTGGTTATATTTTTGTGAATATAAACTGTCAATTTTTCGACCAAGATGTTTCAAGTAATCATTTCACCAATATGTTCACAAAGCTCTAAGGAACTTTAATTAAAAAGCATAGTACTCTAATGCAATTTTAAGAATATATACTATACCAACAAAATCTGAAAACTATATGCTATAGTAAGATACAATAGTATATTTAGATCACATTAACATTCAGACATTAATGACTAGTAAAAGCAGTTGCTTGCAAGAGTTTAAGAACCAGATCGGAAAGCTGCAGCTTTGGAGACAAAATTACTAAGCAACATTAGAAATCAGTATAGTGTAATTTTTACATGTTACAGCTACAGCTGTTCTTACACATGCAAGGAGTAAACACCAAAATATTGGGCTGTGGCTTCTGCAAATATAAACAGAAGTAGAATGCAGAGAGAGAGCTCAAATGATAAGAAAGTCTAAATTTTCCTGGCAATCTGCATAGCTTTTCTTTCTACGGAATCTGGTGTGCCAAGTAATGCAGCTTTTCACTTAACTCTGTAAGATTTTTATTGTTTAATATATTTAAGTGATTGTGAAAGGTTCATAATGAAGACACCTAGAAAGCATCAAACTAGTTGTGTGAGGTAATAATTACAGACCCAAATATTTATGTACCATCCTAAGCAAGCATTGTATAAGAACCTGTAATTTAGTTTCTCCACAGCCTTCCAGTGCAATTAGAAAATTTCTGCCATTCTGTTATTAAAAAAAAATAACATTCAGCAAAACTAACAGAAGTTTATCATCAATCTAACTTATAACAATGGTTTTGCTGATCTGGATGTTTGCTTATAACAAAATAAAAGTTACGCATTCTTTTCAATTTTATCAAGAGGTATCTTGCCATCAAACTGGTGATGGTATCAATTTCTCTTTAGGTTAGATTCATATTCACAACCTGGAAATGAAACAAAACTCCTTTTATCACATCATCAGTACAAAAGGTTGTCCAGGGTCAACCATTTACCTCTTCAGTCATCAAAACCAGCGCCTTTTTAAACCTTTTCAAACTCCAGAAATGTATTGAAAAATGGGGATAGCTTACCTGAACAAGGAAAATGATGAGAAAATAGAAGTTAGCTATTCTTCTGAACTGCTCAAACAAATTTTTTGGTACAAAGTTCCAAAATGTGTACTGAAAACAAATGCACAGATTATGAATGTTTGGGAGAAACATTTGATCTAAAAATCAAGCAAATTTGAAACTCACAATTCAAGATTAAATTAAACAAGAAGCAGGAGTATTTTTGTTACTTTGTTTAAGAATTTACTGAAACGGGATCTTAAATTGGCAACCATGTACTGTTGGATTTGTATCAATTTTCTGAACTGTAATAATGTTGATACTTGTGACTGAAACAAGTTCTAACAACAATGCTCATTCAGAGATCTAGTTACAGAACAGTTCATTTAAAGCCACCAGTGGGTTTTAAAAACTTCTTAGTCACTTCAAACAGCACTTTTAAGTCGTTTCTATTTTGCATGCATGACTTGAAGAGATACATGGCACTCAGATTTAACTATGCAGTCATAGCAAGTTAACAAAAGTTGTCAGCCCCTCTTCTGCACCTTGTCTTAGACACAAAAATACTCCTCAAAATAAACTATAGCAGTGAGTAAGAGTAAATGGCTGCATACTTCTCTACTGATCTTACAAATTATCTGAAGTTTAATAAAATTAAATAAGAAACAGTATACAAAAGTGCAAACAAAACCCAAAAACTTCAAAGGAAGAACAAATAAGATAAAAGTGAGAGAGAAAGGAGTTCATCATGTAGCTCCTTCCTCTGCCCTGCAGTAGGTTCAGTCATACTCTTTTTACACAGCTCAGTGTAGCTCCAAACCCAAAATATTTTAAATTGCAAGGACTGCTTATCGGAATGCACGTAAAAGCAGCAGCTAAAACTGTGTGAAAAGGTGCAAAAAATTGCTTGACAAAACTAAAACTGTATCATCTTATTATTCAAATTATCATTTGACACATAACAAAATGACAACTCCAATGTAACTTTCATGTCTAAAGAGATGGACTAAGAAGCTTCTCCTAATCTATTTGTTCTGCTACAAATGTGCCTTGTCTCTTCTTGGCAGATTGCACTTATACTTGCTGACATGCAAGTTATGCCATGAGCTAGACATTCTAAGAATTTGACTTTGAAAGGGAAGACAGACAGAGCTCTAGAAGGAAAACACCTCTATTACATCTGCAGGTGGAAAGGATCCTTGAGAATTATGCCTTAATTGTATGTGAAAGCCCTATTATGTACAAGTAATCTTTTTACTTGTTGGAGGTTAAAGCCTAAACATTTGTAAGACATAGGAATGAAATGTTCTTTTTCTGTCATGTGCCAAAAATTGGGATCTAGTCTAAATATGCCCTCAGTAAACACTTAGCCGGCTTAATAGTTACCTCAGTATTAGATCACCTGTGAGCAAGCCAAAACTCAGGCAGGCACCCATGCTGGAAAGTCAAGTGCTCTCACTTTGCAATCAAGTACTTTTCATCAGATTGGAATGTTGCTTGCACTGTCCACTACCCAGCTACTTATCTTAGAATTTTGAAAGAGAACTGGTTAGACTTGATTATTTTCCTTGCACAAAAGTCATTCAAAGCTGCTGCTGTGATATATGACCATACAGATTTTATTCAGTGATAGTAATTTTATATTTTCATCAGTAACTTGTTATCAGGCAAATTGTCTCTGTTTATTTTTTAAAAATCTCCATCTGCTGAGAAGGAAAAATGAATAGAGGTTTCAGTGAAAAACTTGTTTAAATTTTCTGTTTAGCTATTTTAATAAAATAAAGTATTCTTCCACATTAGAGGGTTTTTTGACTGTTAAAATGTGATGATTTATACAAGCTCCCCAATTCACCATTTATAATATAAAAATTTAATCTTTTATGCAAGAACTTCCTGTTTAAATCTCCTAGCAGGTTATTTGTCTAAATGTGTGGTGACAGCATATTGTTGTCAGACTAGATATTTGAAATCTAGTATGAGGAAGTAAATTAGTTAAAACAATCTATCAAAAGGTTGAACGTTCATCTGTACCCTTAGTATCAATCCCCTCATTTTCCAACCTCAGGCTCTTTCTGTCAAAGCAGTGGTCTTTCTCACAGCTCCACCTTTGGTCAGCAACTCTCTTACCTGAATAAATGTGAATTACCTGGAATTAGATCACTTTTATGGTCTGAGAGGTGTTGTTTAAAATGGATGCTTCTTTAATACAGTAGACGACTTAAAACTTTATTTTCAAACAACCTCACAGACTTTTAGCACTTTATTACATTGGGTTTCAGACATACAAAGTATGTCTTTGTTCTGTCCATTCATCTTCAAAGTAGAAGTAACAATTTTTGAAGGGGTTTAGGCAAGACAGAGCACTAAGATATCTAGACAGACCTCACTCTGCCCCAGCCATCAAGAGCTCTGACCAGTATCTACAAATGGATGATTAATGTTTAACCACCATAATCGCTCCCATGAGAAACAACAGTGGGCTGCCACCCAGAACAAGACTGATTTAATAACTGCATTCAAGGCAGTTTCTCTACCCTCATTAGGCATGAACAAAATAAAAGTCTTTGAAGAAAAGACATTAAAAATGAAGTTACTAAATACAGCAGATTACTGCGCCTACATACAGAGTTAATACCAGTTTTCTTCTTCAGCTAATTTCTAGTTGTGCTTTTTGCAAACTGATACTTAACTACTTTTTTTCCCAGTATAACTCACTTGAAGAAAATAAGGTTAGCCAAATAGTTACACACTTGAAGCTTTTAGGCTGGGAAAGGTTTGAAGGTTTAGGTTGGAAACTGTTTTTTTTTAAATTGCTGCAAAAAACTTAAGAGGTCAGAGAACATACATGCCTTTTGCATACAGAAGGCAATATGTCAGACAGCAAGAAGTAGTTACGTATCCATCCAAGAGACGAACACGCTGTGTGAACAGATGCATCTGAAGCACTGTACAAGGAAATGTAAAATCAGACTGCCTGGAGTCAAAACTGCACAATTCAATTAGATTTTTTTCCCCATTTATAACAGTAATAGCACCTGCATTGCTGGTGTACTTGTGTAATCATGTGCTGACCTCTTTATGCACACTTCCACAGTGTTTCCACTATGCCTCTGCTCCATCTCACCAATTCTTGAATCTTCTTTGCTAAAGCCTTACTGCTTTCAGCTCCAATGTCTCCGTGTTAGAGCCAGTCCCATGAATTCAAAAATATAAAACAGGGTCTTCTTAACAATAGCTTAATTTTTTTAAACATTATTTTGACCCTTTAATTTGATATCTGGAAGCCAGAATTTTGACTCACATTTCAAGCTTCTCTCCATCCTAAGAGGCAGATAATATCATAAGTAAAAGGAGAGTTTCAGTAACCACTTGACATCAAAAGCTGGAGCTACAAGGGAAAAAAAGCAATCCATATTGGATTACTGAGTTCTTTCAACACTTCAGCTTCTTACACTTTATTTGTTTTAAAACGTCACCCACTCTCTTCTAACCTGCTTCCACTCCTTTCCCTCAGCTTCTTCAAATGTTACTTGTAAATGCTTAAAACCATTCTGAAAAAATACCTACTATGTTACTTCAGCCCTGGTTTGCAGACATTTTGCTATGCCGATTCTTAAACCTTCTGCAAAAGAGAATCCATCTTGAGGATAATAAATTCAGGGAGGACAGATAAAAGCTGAACAGTAGTCTTGCAGTCACTTAAGTTTTTCAATGTTTTTAACAGATCAAGACACATACACAAAACTTGAACATGTGCATTGTGACCAATATTTTTAATATACAGATTTTTATAGTACATGTCAACTACCAAGAGACAATATATTCTAAAGGTGCCAGCTTAACAACTGGACTCTGTATGTGTGTGCATATACATGCACATACCATTTAATATATAATAATGCCTTATATATTATTATGCTATTTAAACAACATAAGTATCATGTTTTATGTATCTCTTACATACATACATCCCACTTGAACAGAATAGCTGAAAAAGGTCTGATCAAAAGTTTGACAATTTCTTTACAATTATATTTATAAATTTTTTTTTAAACATAATTTGTTTAACTTCCTGTGTTCTTTGATATATTTAATCAGTCTCAGCTCTTATTTGTTCTAGCATTCTTCCCTAGGCATCTACTGCTGGTGACAGCGTAGTGTGCCAGATGGACCTCTGGTCATTCTTAGCTGGTCAGGCACACCCATGCGCTACTATCCAGGTACAGACACTCAGTTTACCATGCTGACTGGGATACTCCCAGCACATAAATATGAAGCATGGACCTTCCTTAAGGAAGTTTCATATTAAAAAAGTTACTTTGTAATTTATCGGCTTTAAAAAACAAAAACAAACCCCAACAAACCCCACAACAAACATCCCCCCCCCAAAAAAAAAACAACCCAAACATGCTATTACAAAAAAAAAAAACAAACCAACTTTCATTATCCAATTTAAGAAGAAGAAAAGTTCTTTCCTATCAAGTTCCATTAACTGCCACTGCTTCAAGGTTTAACTTAATTTCCTTTTGACATAGAAGTTCTACTACTCAGCAAATAATTTCAAAATGTGAATACTTTTTAAAGAAAAAAAGCAAGCAACCTCCCTGCCAATTCAATTACTTTTTCTTTCCTCTTATATGAAACATTAGGATTTTGTACTAGCTGGTATTTTGCCACGCTGCACCACTGTCATATGATAAATTCAATGAAGGGCACACAACAGCTACTTAGAAGGCTATCACCCTATTCAGCTGAAGTACAAGTTAGATGAACATACATATTCAGCTTACAAAGGCCACTATCTTTAGAACATAAGCAAACTTCATGTACAGTCCAAAAGACACAAGGTTTTGGCTTTTTTTTTCTTTTTCCAACAGAGCCTTTTTGAAATACATTGTTAAAATCGTAATTGAATTAATGCATCAAACCAAAAGAGCATTTGGTCTGGCCAAGGTCTGTCTATATATCATATTCACAACCAGGAATATGTCATTAAGCAGACAAAGAATTAACCACATTCCATAGTGATACTACAATATACAAGAAATATCCCTCTGTACTGGAATAAAATTATTATCTTGCTGACACCAGGAAACCTCTGGTGAAGCACAGTAAAGTTTACCTTTGGAAGGAAATAACTATAGAAAGTCTGAGGTTCATATTATTTGGAGCTGCCACTTTTTTCAGAAAAAAAAGTCTTTATGACAGAACATTTGTTAGTACAGGAGCATACAGACAGACTAATTGATGAGGTTTCAACATGGCTTTAAACTATCCTTTTCAGAATTCAATTTGTTTTAAATTGGCAAAAAATCTGTACCTGGAAGTTCAGAGTTCCTCATCCTTGAAGAACAATCATATACTAAGCATTAGAGACCTATAAAAGCACAACTGATAGTTACTGTCTCACTGATGAAAGATGACGCAAATACCCTTCATGGCTGAGGTAACATTATACAGTGTGCTTGTGTGGATGTGTATTTTACACTAACAGTTATGACTTTCCCATCTTAATTTTGTTACATTTGATCATTTTTCAGGAAGCTTATGTCTATGTTTCCTAAGCTGTGGTAGATGCCCCTCCAGAGTGTTCATAAAGGAGCAAGTGACAAGGACAGAATGAAAGGTTAAGAGTTAGAAGCTTACACAACCTAGAACAGAATCATAAAATCACAGAATAAATGCTAGTCAAGTCACAATGATGCTTTGACCTTTGGCTGTTTGGGATGGAGCATGTGAGTAATAAAGTTTACTTGAAAGGGACAGCATGGAAAGTTCTCATATAAAGACAACTGTCATTAAAACTGATTTTTTGGCAGTCTAAGGAACTATTTAATATTATAAAGCATTTACATGAACTCTATTCCCTCTTGAAATATCACCACTGTATTTACTTTCATGAAGACGCCATCTTATTTTTTAAGTGTGAGAAATTTAATCAATAAACAGAACATTTGAGAAGCACTGTACATATAAAAACATATCCATTAATAATCTTTTATTTGTGGAATTCTGATTACAGATACCATTCACAAATAGCGAGTCTACCATTTAACTGAACATGCTTCATGTCTAAATAAAAATATAGTGAAGTCTTCTTCCTGAACTAGTTAAAATCATACATATTTACTAATTGCTGACAGGGATCCTCAGCTTGATCCAGGTTTAAGTTATATTTTAAAAAACTCACTCTGCCAAGCACAGTAACTTGAAACCTCCACTATTTTCATCATCACAAAAAGATGTCAAACATCTTGCAGAGTTGAGCAAGATGTTTTTATTTCAAGAAGTGACAGCAGTAACTTCAATACCTTTATGTACGACCCAGATAAGATGTGCAAGATGAAAAAAGAGTATCACAGGAGTGGAAATATTTCCATAAAATGTATTTACTCTTCAGTAATCCATAAGACAATTCAATTGATGTGTCGAGTACAGGATTCCCACTGTACTAGCTTGACTGTATTCAACCTGGATTATTTACTGCTTTATATTTCAAACTTTCTAATTAAAGACACCTAGATACTATGTTGTTTGTTGTCATACTGTCTCTGAATGAAGTACAGAAATAAGGTAGTAAAAATAGGAGTGAAGGAAGGTAGTAAAATACAAAATTTCACATAAGGAATGAGACATAGTTTGACAGCGTGGGGTTTATTACAGCTTTGCCATTATATTAATGGATGGTAAGTGTTCAGATCTGCAATGATAAGTGCTCAGTTCCTTGAGATCACAATGCGACTAAAGTTCTTAAAAAGAGGCTGCGGATCTCAGCTACTGTTCACAAAGACATTTTCCCAGAAAAAGCTATTCTTTTGAATTCATTATTTCATAATTGGTTGAAGGTGTGTACTCATGAAGGTTGAAACTTAAGTACATTAAAAACTTTAAGTTCTTGGGGTATCAGCCACACAATAAGTTGCAAATGTTCAGCTTTCCATGCCATTGCAGAATGAACCTTTGGCTAAAGCAAGCCGGTCAGTCTAAACAGGTAAGAGAGTACCAACAACACAAACGAGCACAGAAAGCTGGTGAAGCTTACAGAAAGATTTACTAATTAAAGTGAGGGAGAACTGGAAGGTTTCTAAAGGGCACAACTATATCAGAATATCAAGAGTTTAAGAATGATTCACTTGCATGTTTATAACAATGAATACCCTTTCAATGGGGTTTTGTCAATACAAGTTTTTGAAGGGAATGGCACTGTTATTGTGGAGATAGCTTTGTTTGTTGAGCACTTACATTCATCATACTACTTCTAGTACTTGAAGGTATTGCTTTAGATTACAAATGACGTAGTCTTTTCTTGGGAAGATTTTCCTTACCCCAGGGTTGCCCCAAATGAAAATTGCTTTTTTACTCCAATGTGGAAACACACAGTATCATTCTAAGACTACTATATACTATAGTAAACATTGCAAATCATCCCATTCTTCTTCCTGCTAGAGGCAATTTGGCAATTAGTTTTTGTGGAAAAAAACTGAGATACCTTCATTTTCTTTCTGCCAGTCATGATTTATGTAAACTGGCATAATTCATGCTTATTTGTGTAAATGAATGAAAAAAATTACTACTACCTTTGATGAGACTATTCGGTTATCTGGAAATCTCTGTGGAATGTATGCTTCAGTGCCTGGAGGTGGTTCACGATGCCCAACATAAATAGTTCGACTGTCCACCCAATTCTCTTCTCCAGCACACTATGGAGAAAAAAACAAAACCAGCCAACAGTTATCATGTCAGGTCACTCTGTATTTCTGCAGTAAAATGAGTTGAATTAACTAATTCCACTGAATTAACACACTGAATTAACTAATCACATCCGAACATAAATGCATACATAGCCATCAGTGCGTGACCCCTCATTCTTCTCTGTATTATCTCAGGAGCACTAAAACACATAATCTAACACAAACTGCCTTAACTGTACTGCACTTTCCCTTAAGGCAATTCGACAATATCCATGAAAATTACTGTTCTAACTTTTTAGTTTTGTAACTGAAGAAAGAAGAATTTATCAAATTAGGTATTTACTGTTTAAGGGATTGCTACTCATTTTACCACTGGTAAGTATCAGTGGTAATTACAGTGTTTGTATGTATGTATGACAAACACATCCGATTTTTAAGACTATTCAGCCATAACTTGCTATTTTATTTGCAGCAAATAAACTGTGTTCTCTGAAATACTGGCAATAACAATTTCCCCAGTCATGAACAAGCTTAGGAACCCTCAGATTGCCAGGAAAAGACCTCAGCTTGTAAACTCAGATCCCCTGCTTTTTAATAACAGCTGTGTCTGCAAGTAGAAAAAAATGTAGGTGAGCCAAAGTAAAATGTTCATATATTTGCATCATAAACCTCCACTACACCTACAGCTTGTCCAAAATTAGGACTTCTATGCTTTCAATTCACTATAAAAATGAAACAAAGCAAAAAAGCACAAATCAAATCACTGTGGAAAAGTATTTAAATAAAACTAAAATGGTCAATTTTTATGTTTTTTTTAGAAATAACAATTTAGAGACTTCTTATAGGATTCTTTCAGCAAGCCAAAATATTTTGGAAGTAAAGCAATGAAAATGCTTCCATATTGCACCTTCCTTCCATGCCAAGAACAAAATGTGGTATCTTTCACTATTTTATTGGAACACAATATATTCTACCTTGTCCGTGCACTTGAATGTACAATGGACACAAATTATTTATCAACTCTAGTGCTAAGATATACCTAGAAATGCAAGAGCGTGTGAGATATTCCGGAGTAGTAGTTTAAATTTTATGATATTTATTAATTTTTTGTTAGGAATGACATTCCAGACATAAAAGTAACACAAAGAATACTCATGATACAGTTAAGTGCCCGAGTTCAGAGACGACTGCATAAAGGGCTAATGGGAATTCAACACGGGCATCTTTGAACATTAAGAAGAAATCCCTCAGCTTCTCCTTCCCTTTACGTAGGCCCAGCCTGATAATTTATCTCTTGCATTATGAACCAATCTAAGACTGCTTGACAAGGATATTATTAGTTAAAAAAGTGGTGTTTTTTTTTTTTTTTTAATTTCACATTATAAACTGATCTTTATCTTGACTCAGTTAACAGTCCTCTGTGATACTACCTTTCAAGCTGGAAAGTACAAAAGTCAGAGCTCTGAACAGAACTGTCTTGTATTTCTACCGTTTTTTAAAGGTCTGGTGGCCCTAGAGTATTGTGTTAACACTGAGTAAATCACCTTAATGTCACAATGTGGAATTTGTATCCCTAAAGAAAGGCTGTATATAACTTACATTAAGTATGGGTATAAAATCAAAACAATCTCTTCTGTTGGCTTAGCTGAATCTGGTTTTATCATGAATAGATAAATTCACCATGAAAGTACAAAACCATATCTAACTTAACTATTTGCTAGCACAGAACATTTTTTTATTTTTCAATACATTACAAGAGATAGAAAATTAATGCACTTTACTATCCTAATTCAACAACTTCAAAACCCCAGAACATTCATATCTAAGTATAAAAAATCAGTAGGTAAGAGTAAGGCTATGTTTTTCAGTGAGGTAGAACTACACTGGAGAAAAGTGGCATGCATTATTCAGTATGACCATAAAGAAACTTACTTGCAGAAAAAGATAGGAGAAACAACATTACAAGTCAGGACGAATGCCACATAGAGAACTGAAAACACCATCTGAATGGCTGGTAATGCTAACCTACAAAAAGCCTGGCATGTTGATACAACAGTTCTTTAATGTTCAGATATAGCACATGAGAAATCACTTACAGAATGTCACCAGCGTAACTGAAAAAAAGCAATCTGATGTGGTGCCAGAACAGTGAAGTATATTCACTTTTTTTTTAAGTTTTATTACTTAAGCCCATTAAGGATATGTCCAAGAAACCATAAATAAACCTTAGCATTATCTGCTTCTATTTATAGTATAAAGCTTAATGTACTGAGACCTAGTTTCATTGGCACATCACTGAAGAAGCGTTACTTAGCTTTTATTCCTCCAAGCAGGGTCAGCAATACAAAAAGCAAAGACCAGCAAAAGACTAAGTTATCTTTACGTAACACTAAATAAAGCCAGTTGACAGGATTATACCTTAATGTATGAGTTCAAATATTTGTGAAACTTATTTTTCTGATTCAAAAATCAAACTGAAACAAGCTTGAGATTCACCTTCATGCTAGTCTGCTCATTTTTATCTACATTAAATAAAAATATAATAAAAATATTTATAAAAATAAAAATATCTGAAAAGACAAAGTGTTAGTATTCAACAGGTGACAGCAAAAGGATATGAAGATGCTAGTGGTAGCTCCTGGAAAAAGTAACTGACCTTGAAAGATTCCAAGTCTTTCCAAGTATTTTAGTAAAGACACTTGACTTATGGTTTGGAAATCAATGGAAACACTGAATGACATTTCCTGACTCTCCACTATTTTGTCCAAATAATGTAAACACAAGCACTACTAAGTTAATATTCATTAGGTACGGCTGGAAACAGCTAAAGGCCATGATGTAAGTACACTTTGTTGGACAATATTCTCTCCTGCTTTTTTGCTAAATGCTTTCTCAGAAAGCATCGTAAATGGACAGACAGAACACTCCAACCACAGATTAGACAGCACTGAATGCTCAGCATCAGCTATAGCCTTCTTCACCCGGGCTGTAACAAATTCTTTCACAGAGAAATATTTTACACTCATAGAGGCAGGGTTTGGCAAGAGCCTGGCATTTCAATAGCACACTGCTACTTGATCTCAATGAAGCAATTGGCACCATTGTTAAAATTGCACATCAAACACATAGCTGCTAGATCACCTTGAAGTTTGTGGGTAACAGAAACTGACAAGCTATTACCACTCAAAATCTACATGAAGAACTAATGGTGCACAGTGTGAAAAACTTTAGCATGCAGAATATTCTGCTCATATCTAATTGGATACGTTAAACCAGCTCTGCACAAAAAAAAAATGCCCTCTGTTTCTCATCTTCCATTCGGTGGAGAAAAACAACTGCAGTATCTCAGGAAGCTGTAATTCATTAAAGTGAAAAAAAAAGGGACTAATTTTTATTTCTTAAATCTTAAGCAAAATATCTTCTTTATCATACACTATTTATGGAACCATGAGATCATATATTCTCATCTTTGTCTTCATTTGTCAAATATACTGAGTACCTGTTCTTTTACGCTGGACTCAGTGCTATTCTGAAGGTAAATGTGCAGACATGCCCCTATACAAACAGCAGCATAGTGTGCAAATTTTACTTAACCTTTCCAAATCCAATCAAAACCACTATCCTTTTAAAGGTAGATGAGATCTATGTGTCATAAAAAGCAGAATCCCTCTAAAGAAATTGAAAAAGTAATCCACATTTACTGGGTAGCAATTACAGAAAAGATTAAGAATTTAAATAGCTCATTTTGCAAAAAGTCTCATGCATTTACATGTATTTGTGGAGATGAGGGGTGAAATTCTTATCCACTTGAGGGATCATAGTAACATTTCAAATGTCAGGCAAAATCGCTAGACCTATATAGAGCACTTAAAATCTACATTTTGTTTGCAGCATTGTATCAGCTATAGAACGAAGAGTAAATATAACTTTAAAAGCTGTTAAGGCTGTTTTGCATGTTTCCTATGAATACAGGATGGCACAGATGAAATAATTCAATCTTATAATTATTGGATAAATTCCCTACCAGGTTTTATAATCTGAAAAGGGCTACTTCAGTTTTAAGTACCATAAGCAGACAGTAAACTGTTTCATGTACCTATAAATCATATGCCACTAATTTAATTGAATACCAAAATGCAGCACTTCAGAGGCAACCACAAAAATCCCCATCAGAACAAGTCTCTCACAGAAACTCCTATGATTAGCTAACATATTTCCTGTGGGAGATGTCATTGTCATGGGATCTGTTCCCTTACGCTGCTGCAACAGAATATTTATTATTGCATTTCTTTTCTGCAAATGCATTTGGAATCCATGCATGGTGTTTTCATAAGCAATAATATCTGAAAATAAAACTCCCCCAATAAAATTGCCTACGAATCACACAATGTTGGACATAAGCATATGCAAACAGAGAAGAGAAGATAATAAACATTCTTTGACTTCATCTAGATTATTTTATTTATGAGTCTCAGGTAAGGGATGGATGTGACTAGAAGCAAAGCCAGGTATATCCTAACTACAGGACATGGTGCTAGGTCCAGAAGTAAATTTCCTTGCCAAGCCACACCTATACCATTTTGTGGAAGGTTTTCTGATCCTTCCTTCCCTCTACTGCAAGGGGCTTGTGCAAGGAGGCAGAAGGGGGAATGGCTTCATTGCAATAGACTGCATAAACGTTTGTGAATTGCTTGAAGTTGGAAAGAGGAAATGAAGAAATATGATAGAATCATGTAAAGTTCTGTAATTCACAGCAGTTAGAAAAGAAACACACAATAGTAAATATTCCAGTTTCTGTAAAATACCTAACATTTCTGTATGTCTACTTAATAAAAATTTACCTCAGCCTTCCAGCTCAGGCCTCCTTGAGCACTGCACTTAGTATAAAAGATTTCTGAAGCTATTCTAACACAGGTATATTCCAACCATGTCACATCAGTTTGTACAAGGACATTCTAATACAGCACTTTGTAGACAGTCCAATTCTCCTTTCCGATTTCCAGTTTAAA